TAAGATGGACATGAAGAAAAGCTGTGCATGGTCGCTTGTTTGACCGACACGCGTTAGCTATTTGGAAAAGTGCTCGTCCGGAACGAAGATTATATCTTGGCAACTCACGTATCTATGATCGCTTCTTGTGGTTCCAAGCCATATTTCCTCTTCAGAAGAACATTGATCATGGCCGCTTCTAGCCCCTTGAGTGCTGAGATACTTTCGGCGAAGCGCCAGTTTATCGGTATACTGGGCTTAGATGTGCCTTTGAACTGGACTTTCTTCGCGCATTCTGCGATTTCTGCGGGGAGTGTGGGAGCGATCAGAGGGTTTTTCAATATTCCATCGTCGAATACATGTTGCGTTTCGTTAGGAACGGAGTAACTTTTGGAACTGCCGTTGGTAGCATTGTTCACGCTATTGGTATGACCGTTCGTATCGTTGATGGTCATGATGGTATCAGCGGTCTGGAATTGGGTTTGTAAGTTCAAAGGCAGAGCTACGACATGCGGGTATCGAGAGCTTTATTGTTCTCACATATCCGAGTTGTGACCCACTTGGACCGATCATTCATTGGGTCTCGTACGAAAGCGCCCACTACGCCAATCGGCTCACCAGCAACATCGCGCTACAAAACCTTAGTCGTCAGCTGTGACATTCAAGCATTGCCGATCATGATAGATGAACGCATATTGCATCGCACCAACGTTGGGTATACCCGATTCGGTCCTCGGTAGATCGAACTAGTCGAGTCGCCCAAGGTGGGGTATCACCCCGCATCTAGGGTTGTATTAGGAAGAGGATGTGGTATTGAATCCAGGATATTTGATGGGATGGCTTAAATGGAACTTGTATTGCTATAGTGTTGGATTCCAGCCCTGCGTAGGCTTGTACGCCGTTGTCACGACATTGAATAGCGTATATAACCATTTTGTGCGAATCACTCAACAAACTAATCGGAAAACAAGTCAACGAACTTGTCGGGCCAGGTTGGAACATCAAAAGGGTGGGCGAATACGTGGAGCTTGTAGAGGAAGTATCAATTTCAAACTCCATTCTGACTACGAAGACGGCCAGTCATGTCATCAAATTACAGCAGTAGATGGACTACACAGCGGGGGACCCGGCCAGTGAGGGTAGCGAACTGCTCAGGATACAAAGGTAACACTGACCTTGCGCCTAGCCTCAATCTCAGACTGACCTGTCCTAGGCGATCCAGGGTACCATATGCGCTACCAAGCAGAACTGGGAGATACAGATTTTATCACGGGCGACTATCTTGCCGAGGTCAACATTGCGGAAAACGCTCAGGCACATGCAGAGGGCAAGCATCCTGGGTGGGAAAAGACAGCTTGGGATGGGCTTGAGCAGACCATCGATTTATTGAATGAGAAGAGAATCAAGGTCGTTGTTAATGGCGGTGCGCATAACCCCAAGGGTCTAGCGGAGAAGGTACAAAAACTCGTGAGTTTGCACTCTTCACCCTAGACATCTAGTGCATGAATTTACTTATATATGGTTAGGTCGCGAGTAAAGGCTATGACTTGACGGTGGCGTATGTGTCAGGTGATAACTTGATCAATGAGATGAAGGACGTCAAAGAGAAAGGTTTACCACCACACCTGGATTCTGACAATAGCGAGGTGACGGTCGCTGACCATGTACTTGATATTCTGAAGAGTGACAAGCCGATCGTCAGCGCGAACGTCTACCTCGGAGCTCGCGAAATCGTGAAAGGCCTTGAAGAAGGCGCAGACATCATCATCGCCGGTCGTGTCGCAGACGCCAGTCCAGTCATCGGCGCTGCATGGTATTGGTACTCGTGGAACGACACCGACTTCGATGCGCTTGCTGGAGCGCTTATTGCGGGTCATCTTATCGAATGCAGTGGTTATGTGACGGGCTCGAACTTTGCGGGTTTTTATGAGTATCCTTTGGACGAGCTCTACGATCTCACTTTCGGTATTGCGGAGATCGAAAAGGATGGTACTTGTGTGATTACGAAACATGAAGCTAGGAAAGGTTTTGTTACTGAGGATACTGTCAAATGTCAGTTTCTATACGAGTTGCAGGGGAACGTATACCTGAATAGCGACGTCAAGGCGATCCTGGACAAGGTGCAGGTCAAAGCTGAGGACAGAAACAGGTACGTCCGAATGTTTCTAATCGTCATTGTTCTTCACCGACAGCAGTATCGCTAAGCTCTAGACAGAGTCCGCGTGTGGGGCATCAAAGGTGGACCGCCTCCACCTACTACCAAACTCGCCATCTTCTATCAAGCAGGGTACCAGTCTGAGATTGTCGTCAATGCAACCGGATATGCAACCACTGAGAAGTTCAACCTCTGGGAACGTATAATCAAATTCGGTCTCAAACAGAAGGGCATACTGAACAGTTTCGACATCTTGGAATTCCAGCGCATAGGCGTACCAGAGACCGACCCGAAGAGTCAGCTCCGGAGTACATCATACTGTCGAATCTTTGCCGAGACGAGCGATCCGAATGTGAACCTGGGCCTAGCGAGCTTGCTGGCTGACTTTGCAATGCAACATTACTCGGGATTTCATAGTACGATGGACCATCGCACAGCGATACCGAAACCGTACCTGTCTTTCTATCCGGCGGTTTGGCCGCAAAACAAGCTCAAAACCGCAATCAACATGCTCGAATCTGGCAGGACGAGGGTAGTGACGACCACGCCGCCGCCAAAGTTTGAGGAAATCGGGAAACGGCAGAGTTACGAGACTCTGAATCCAGTGGGCTTTCAGTCTTTTGGTCCAACAACGCGTGCACGATTGGGAGACGTAGTGCTCGCCCGATCGGGCGACAAAGGCGGTAACGCAAACATTGGCTTCTTCGTACCCACCAACCTGCCATCATCCTACTCACACGGATCACCTCTCTATGCCGAAACCTGGGACTGGCTCCGCAGCTTTCTTACCATCCCCAAACTCAAAGAAATGTTTAGAGAAAGTTGGAGCGACAGCTTCTTCGTAGAAAGAGTGGAGTTCGAGGCTATCATGGCGGTACATTTTGTGGTCTATGGAGTCTTGGGTAGGGGCGTCAGCGGGAGCAGTAGGTTGGATGCTTTCGCGAAGGGCATGGGCGACTGGCTGAGAGATGTCGAAGTCGAGGTTCCGGTGAAATTCTTGGAGGGACGGGTTAAGCGAAAGGCTGTGGCTGGAAGGTATTCGGCCGAGGCATGACTTAAGAAAACGGTATCTGTTGGTCTTTACACAGGTTCCATCAGTATCAGCACTTCTACTGCGGTCACACTAGGTGGATTCTGAAGCGTAAACGAGGTTCGGGTCTAGGAGGCCGTCGCCAAGCCGCGATGACGTAGAAGGCTAGGTGACAGCTAACATGTTTGTTCACGCATGCACAGCCACAAACGGCCAACATCCATACATCATCATTGAACTGCGCCCGTTCTACTTGTAGTGTCACAGCAGTACCACCACAAACAAAGATCCATCAAATCTCTACTGCCCGCTTCGAAGTTAAGACTAGATACTTGCTTCCAGTACTCAGTCTCCAGAGTCATCATGTTCAAAAAGTTGAAAGACAAGATCAAGGGTGATGACAGTTCCACAAGACCTTCATACGGGACGGATGACCACAACCAGAACTCGAATAATCCTTATTACAACTCGCCCCAAGAACAACAACACAACATAGCGCCAACGGAAAAGTACCAAGCCCCTCCTGGCCCGCCACCAAACCAGGCTTCATCATCGTCCAAGTCTGAGTACTCTGCACCTCCAGGACCCCCACCACACCACGGATCTTCGTCGTATACTGCTCCTCCCGGACCTCCGCCTAAACGCGAGTCCTCAGGCTACGCACCTCCAGCGGGACCGCCTCCTTCGTACCCGCAGCAACCGCCTCCTAGTTGGGATCCTCCGCCATACCACGATTGGACCGTCATCCCTGACACTTCACTTTTGCCTCCGCCACCGTCGATGGGCTACGATAGTTCCCCTACTGCCAACGCGTCTACCGAGGAAGGTGATCGTGCCTTGGCTTGGACGAACATGAACCCATTATGGCCACCACAAAATCTCCAGCCCAGCACTCATGCTGCGATTCAGAACGGTCAGCTCGCTTTGTTGAAGGCGCCATCTTATCTGGGTGATCTACTTCCTCAACCTCAAGCTGGGCATTGGCGGTGTCGCACCCATGCCAAGTGCAGAGACTCAAGCGTCCTCACGAATCTACCCATGTATAGCGTGTTCTGGGACTCACCACTCAACACGCAGCGCTCCAAGACTATCTATTTCGAGCTAAAAGTTATTGGCATAGGTCGTGGTGGTATCTCCTTCTCAGAAGCAGACGCTGGCATTGCCATAGGCTTTGTCGCACCACCGTATCCCACCTTTCGTCTTCCAGGTTGGGAGCGTGCCAGTCTTGGTGTGCATGGTGATGACGGAAGGAAGTATGTCAACGATGCATGGGGCGGCATCGACTTCACCTCAGCTTTCAAGCCTGGTGATACTGTGGGTATCGGGATAACCTTCTCAGTTCCCCGGAACCCACCCTCATATGAAGAGTCGCAGCAGGGAAGGATGTTGGATATTGATGTTTTCTTCACGCGCAATGGAGTGAAGGAAGGCGGCTGGGATGGCAACGAGGAGCTCGACGTGAGGAGCGAGGGAGGTAACACTGGGCTGAGAGGAGAGTCTGATCTCTTCCCGGCAATCGGTGTGTTTGGTGGTGTAGATTTCGACGTCTTCTTTCATCCATCGCAGTGGCTCTATCGCCCGTATTGAGACTGCCTGGGCGTTTACTATCCACTCGAGGTAAAGTCGTATATTCCTAGAGTGAGGTAAAGTCCCTTGACCTTGTCCTACACGCTTTACAACTCATGCTAGTTCTATTTATTTTCTCCTATCCTACTTATTGACTCTGCGATGACCTTCATCATATCTTGATTCGAGCTACTTTTTTTATTTCAAAACCTGCAGTATTCCTGAGTCCTGGTGTCGCCTTGTTATGTGAGATTTCCACAGGCTGATACCATGTCTTCAATTGCGTCACATATATCTCAAGACTTCGGCTATCCCCTCATGCTGGAAGATTATATTCCGATCTCCCCTCCGCCCACCAACATCCCAGATCTCTGCGCTACCTGTCATGCGTTCGGCGCGAAGAACAAGTGCAGTAAGTGCAAGAGCATCCGCTATTGCTCACCAGCCTGTCAAAAGCATGATTGGGATGCCAACCACAAGCTCATCTGCAAGTCATATGTCAACGCTACCCAGAAACCCATACGCGAACCCCTGCGGCGTGTCCTATACTTCCCCGAAAAGTTTCACAAACCTCTCTTCTCCGTCCTCGCGTTCGACGAGAAAGGTACGGTAGGCGGCCTCGAACATCACTTCCCCGCTGTACCCGCTCAAGAGATCAAAAAGCTCTCTTTCCATAACCGATACTTACCGTACTTTGTCCAAATCAACTATGACGCCAACACTCATGGAGAGCGTGCCCTGACTGAGAACAAGACCTTCGGATTGCCGTTTCGAGGCCCGATCGTTGTGCTGGCTTATGACTTGGATGTCGCGCTGAGCGGTCCAGCGCTGAATGTAGATACTACGATTATGGGCCCGTTGGTGGAGTATGTCAAGTTGTGTCGCGAGTATGATGGGCCAAAGTTCATTGAGGTGAGTCGATTGAGTATACAAGGGCAAGGGATGTGGCTGACGCTACACTGCAGCAACCACAGCAAAGATATACCAAGGCAGAACTAGAGGATATTTTGAGCAACTCTGCCGTATCTGGTTGAGGACCGATATCAGCTAGATACTCGTCAGTATGGGTACAGATGAACAAGTGGGTTTGGCTATGAGATGATTGGAAGGATATTTCGATTCTTGAATATGGGGATGCTTTGTCCATACTAGAAATAAGAGTCGAAGATTCCTTCTGGCTCTTTCTCCTATCTCTTAGTAATTTTGCCAGTGGTCGTTCCTATATGGTTTAAGATAAGCTCGACCTCGGCATCTGCCACTTCGACGATATGCTCCGGCGCATGATCCGGCCTCCAGCCCAAACTATAGGCCCTTTTTGCTTCGAATGTGCATCTGCGTCCTAGGTCAGCATTTGAGCCATCGTTTGTGGAGATGCATAAGGACTTACTTTCCACCCAGCTGCACTGCGACCATATCTTTAGGACAGCCCAAGGCCTGCGCCATCTTGTCAAGCGCGGCATCGTCTGCTCTCTCAACATCAGGGCTACTGATCACCCCACGCTTCGCAAGTGCTTTTGCCATGGCGGCGTATATGTCGTACCACGCCATACTGCCAGACGAAGCGAGATAGTACCCGTCCTTGCCATACCCTGGATTCTCGCCACTCAGAATACTCTTTAGCAGCTTTACATAAAGCTTTGTGTTATCGTCAATATGGCATACTGGCCAAGTCTGGGTAGGCTGTTAGTATGCCGGTCGTCGCCTGGATATTTTTCTAATTGCACACACCCGGTCTTCCGGGTTGACATCATAGACGGTGCCAGAACCCTTCGCAGCTGTGACCACCGCAACAGTCTGGATCGAGATTTTGTTCCCAAAGCCTTTACCTTCGCCATACACGATACATGGAACAAAAATGTAGCTGCGAACACCGTATTTCTCGGCCGTTTCGATGACGGTGATGTTCGTATTCGCTGCCTAGATTTGCATGAATGATCATGATTGGGATGCGAAGATTGTGGAACAGAGAGAAGTATTACACTCGCTGCTTGTGTGCGACTTACTTTGGTGAAGAATTCGTGTGGAGACTCGGAGCTTTTCTGGAGGTCGTACAATGCCGGATCAGTGTCAACAAGTCTCCTATCGGTGGGCATTCCTGCATGCTCGCTAAACATCTTTGCGCCGCTGGTGTGTAGAAAGTGCACTTCCCGTCCGGTCTGCCTCTTGACCTCTCCGAGAGCTTTAATTAGAGGTATCTGCATATCGCAATTCACAGCGTCTACAAGGAAATAGACGACGAAGATCTGTGCATCTACAATGTTCTTCGTAACACTCTTCTCGTCCTGCAAATCGAGAGTGAAAGGAAGTACGTCATATTCCTTTACTGCCTCTGCCTGTTCTTGAGACCTGACTAGAGCATATATAGTCTCATTTCCTGGGAGGGCGGTGTTGCGTAGCTGTGCAAGCAGCGAGCCTCCGAGGTATCTATCAGACCAATGAGTTATAAAGTAGACTTGGCCAATAGAAGCGCACTCACCCGGATGCACCAGTTATGAGAATGGGCATGATGGTAAGCAGAAAATCAGTGTGATAGGGTAATGAGCGGTGTCTTCTTCCAAGATACAAGTCTCCGATTTATTAATTGTATGTGAACAAACGCTATTTACCAATGCTGTGTAATGCAGAAGCTTTACAAAGACTATAAAACCGACATTATGAGTACCTTGTAAGTAGCCGAAGCTTGTCGTTTCTCTCTACCAGTTGTCTGCCGACATAGTGTATCAATGATTTGTAATAGACCGGTTGCCATGTTAGGTGATTGCCGAACCCCACAAATGACGTAATACTTGTATGCCCCGCTTCTGTTAAAGGCAAGTTACACTGACTACAAATCTCGCCAGGCATCACTTCTATAATATCCTTCCGATGATCTTCCTAATCTCTTTCGTTTAGCGATTGGTATAATGTCAGTAGACTGCGCTGTGTCATTCCGGTGTGGTTCTTCAAAATTACGACATGAACCGGTCGACCAAAGTACCTAGGTATACTTTATGGCCGAGCTTCTGGTAGCTACAACTAGTTTTATCGACAAGATTGCAGAGATGTATTGCAGGTTCATGCTTCGCAGATATCCGAAGTGGAAATCGTTAAAGTTTCTCGTTCGGTAAAAGCGTTCTTTTCTGCAAATGCAATCTGGAAGACTGCTAGTATCAGTAAATTCAATAAATCCTCCGTCTATGATCTCAAGGAACAAGGGTATGTAAGTTGTTCAGTCGTCATCCTTGCCTGGATAATCAGAGGTGGGCATGTCAGACTCGGTGACGATTAGGGGATTGCCGCCTTAGTTTGCAATGACTGAGATCTTGAGAAGAGATTGAGCTTTGCGTGGGACAAGAAGGGAGAAAGTACAGAGCGCGTACCTTACAAGAAGCAGCTGAGCGCGGGAAGGTCCAGCTTCCAATTCCAGAAATACACGAGAAGGCAATGAACACTGCCAGGAGTAAAGGAGGCAGTAAGGTCTGGAATGAGTTTAAGGACGGAACTACTCGAGATAAACTTGATAAGAAGGGTGGTTTCGAGGGGGCAGTTTGGGATTGGGATCTTTTTGAGAGGCGAAAGAGAAAACAAGAGGCAGCTCCAAGAAGTCCAGTCTCTACTTCTCCTCGAGGCTGGGCGAAAGACTGTTTCCATCGACCTCTGACAGACTTCGTGCCACAACTGAGAGCACGATCCATCGGCTTCATGTTTGGTCAGTCCACTTGGCCGATCTAACATACACCTGATAAGGATAACACAACCTTGGAAAGATGGAGGAGGAGGTTGATCAGAGCGACCCACGTCACGATAGGTGCAGTCCAACGCAGCTACATGCGCTTCGTCTAGATTGTGCAGAATGCGAGCATCGCGTGCATTAGCATATGAGGTAAGTGATACGTGGTCGAGACCGCTGTAAGGCGTGCGAGAATCCATTAACAAGCATCTTGCAAGGAAGGTATCCAGAGTGTAAAAGAGAAGAGACATATCTGGGTAAGCTTGGGGGCTGATGTGTGCCACTGTTGCTAGCCGCTTGCAGCTAGCTATTGCGGGGCTATCAGCCGCGGAGGCTGGAGCTGGGAGCGCTGGATGACCACAAATAGATTGCTTCAACACGTTCCTGGTTGTTGACGACTCGTTTGCAAAAGGGGGAAATAACTCCTATGAGCTTTCAACGTCCGAATTGAACAAGAACAAGGGCTTTCTTCGCAACAATGTAACACAATAATAAGAAATATGGATCTCGGTATCTCTTCAGATTCGTCGCATCGTGATTTCAGCATACGCGAGCGTAGCAGGCGGGCGCGAATTGATGCGTGCTTACAGCTGTGCCTCAGCGGACGCCTTGTTTTGGATGCAGCCCCGGCAGGAGCTGAAGGTGCAACGCAGCAGATCATCACGTATATAACGTGCAGGTCTGTCGCAACTCTGCATCACAGAGGACGCGACAGATACCATGGCTCCCATCGACGATACAACCGACGCAGACGCAAAAGCGACCGAAGTACTAAAGATTGTCGAACAGTATGGTCTGAACTACGAGCGGACTGGAGCTTGGGATGGGTTTGAGACGTTCCTACCTATTGTGGCGGGACAGGTAGAGCGCAAGGAACCAATTCGCATGTTACTACCTGGTTTCCCTTTCAAATCGCCAAATCAGAAAGACAAGGTGCTGGGTGTCTTGCCGGATTTGGGCGAAGAGCTTGCGCTGAAACATCTGGATGGGCTGTGCGAGAAAATCAAAGCGATCTATGGGCATGGCGCTGAATGCCACATCACATCTGATGGTCTCGTATACAACGGTGAGCTGGAGGAAAACAACACCATGCCTCGATATATTGCTGACGATGGTAGATCTGCTTGGTGTGACCGATGAAACCGTATGGAACTTTGGACAGGGCGTGCGAGAAATAGCTGCAGCCAACAAGCTTCAGAACCTTAGCTTTTTGCGCCTCTGGGACCTGCTCGATTATCCCGGAGACTTCCAGTCAAAAGAGTACTATTTGAAGCATGCAGCAAACATTCGAAAAGAGCTCAAGCAACGTTTTGGTGACCCCAAATTCGAAGCGGACATGGCCAACACATCCACTAGCGACATGCAGATGACGCATACCAAGTATCTCGAGTTTCTAAAGCAGGACCTGGCTTTCAACGATCGGCACAACGCGCTGTCACCAGAAGACCAGGCTGCGAATATTGCCAACACAGCAAAGGAGATGATGGGTCGATGGAAAGCGTTTTCCGCTGCGCTGGCAGCCGTACCTACACAATACATCCGTCTATCAATCCACGATTCGGGTGGTAAAGATAAGCTGTCCATGGCTATCATTCCGCAGCAAGAAAAAGGAGCTTTGGGCGCAACGCCATGGCACTCGACGCTCGTGATCGAGGCAGATGGAACGTTGCGTACGGTGCAGCGATGCAAAGTCGACAAAGGAAGCTATCAGCTCATTTGTCGCGATGACCGACCGTACTGTTTCCGCGCCAAGCTAGAAGGCGAAGACGATTCGAATAAAACATTCGAACAACTGTATCCCTCTGGTCTCACGATTCGAGATCGCAAGGCGGTGGCTGCTTAACATGGTGGTTGAGAGAGGAGAAAATTGTAGAGAGGGTTTTCATCGAATGTCAAGTGGAACAGGCGTGGGTGCAAATTGCATTAAATCCGGTGAAGGTTGCAGTGCTTTGAGTCAGATGTACTCGGTTCGGACAGACATCATACGAGCAGGTGGATTATAGTGCTGGATTAGTATTTAGCCTTAATGCTGTGGGACGATGATTAGCGACTAGGTGTGTTCGGTGAGGCTGCGAAACTCCGGGAGCAGCCCAATTGTATGGTAGAAGCATGGCGCCCCTGTTATCCCCATGGCCCAAATCTTGGTGATCGGTCGATGAACAAAAAGGATCATCCGCTTGTGGCGGCGTGATGTCCGCAGGAGGAGAAGATTCGCTTTGGCAAAACACGACATGTCTTGTCGCTGTGTGAGAGTTGAGATATCGTTTGCCCAGATGCAGGGTGCGCTGGCCTATGTAGACAATAGAGTTAAGAGTGAAGTATGGGGTATGCTCTGAAGACATGTGATTTCGGCGCGAAGCGATCGGATTCCGGTAGATCGGCAGTGAGAGCACTTGCATCTTCGATGGTGCCCGTGCCCACCCTCCATCAACGCCAACCCTGGCCGAGAGACGCACCGTCGCTGTCAACCAAAACCAAAGGATCGCATGGACATAAGATAGCCGGGCTCTGGCCGTGTCTTGTCTGCGCGACCGCCGATTTCTTTTGAGAATGCTGCAGCCAGTTTGTGTCTCTCTCTCGCGACTGTCACATCTGCATCGGCAGCCACATGCAGATGCTCACCCCTCCTCCGGACGAAGAAGGCCTCGGGGCTCCTCCCATGAGCCCGCCCGACCAGGACAAGGGATGCGCATATGACTGGACAGCCGCGCTGCCTCAGACAGATCATATCCGCTTCTTCTGCAACACCGACTGGTCGCGTACCAGCCTGGGACCAACAAGCACATGGAGCCAGACGCTGCGACTTTTTGCCAGCTACGTCCTTTCTGATTCACGCGGGGCTTGCCTCTGGTGGGGGGACATCTCCAATCTCACGGCTATATACAATGAGGCATATGCGCCTCTTGCTGCCGGCGTGCATCCCAAGCTTATGGGATCCCTCTTCCAGGAAGGCTATCCGGATCTCTGGCCGTCTATTCGCCAATACTTCGTAGAGGCCAAGCGAACAGGCGCTGGCGTAAACTACAGCTCGGCTACGCCCACGGTGGTTGAGCGGAAGGGGTATACAGAGGAGACGTTTTTCTCGGGCGGGTTTGTGCCAGTAGGCATGCCAGGCGCCATCGAGGGCTTCATCAACACGACGTGAGTTACGTTCAATGGACAACTTGCAGAACATGGCCCTCTCAGTCGCACACAGCTTAGGCTTCGTTCCCCAACTGACGCAACTAGCTACGAGGTCACAAGCCAAAAACTCGCCGACCGCCGCACCAACTGTCTGAACACACTTGCCTCTGTCCCCTCTCAATGTGTCGACGACGTCTGCTCCCACATCCTCACCACGCTCGAATCCAACGCCAACGACGTGCCCATGGCCATGCTCTACCGAATCGATGAGACTCCAGGCTCCAACAGATTGCGACTCCATGGTTGTAATGGACTTCCAGAAGGACATGGCCTCATCGTGGAAGAAGCCACTATTGATAGCGAAGAAGGCTTGATCCCAGACCTGCGACGAGCCGGTGCAGAACAGACGGTTATCGAGCACGACGACCGATTCCTAGCTACCTCTTGGGGAGGTTGGGGTGCGCCGTCCAAGAAGATTATCATAAGCCCTATCATGTGCGGAACACGCCTCTTTGGCTATCTCGTATTTGGTACAAATCCCTACCGCCCACACGACGATATCTGCAAACAGTTCATTCGAGATCTCAGTCGCATGGTTTCGAGCATTGTATCGTCTGCCGTCGATTGTGAAGCCAATCGAAAGCGTCAAGAGCAGCTGGAAGCTGACCTTGCTTTTAGCGATCTCAAGCTACGTCATCTGATTGATCATGCATCTGTAGGCATGTGCCACGTCTCTCTGGATGGCTTAATGCTTTGGGCGAATGATCACTATTACCAGCTAGCTGGGAAATCTGCTTCTGACCATGCAGTTGGCCTTGCATTTCTCGAAGCTTATCACGACGATGATCGAGCAAAGGCTGATGATGTTTGGGAACGTCTGATTAAAGGCGCCGACCACGTTACAGCCGACTTGCGTTTGAAGCGCATGTACACGCCTCCCACGGGCGATCCCGAGCCTGCCCAGCTACAGGTTCTAGCCTTCCCATATCGCGACGAGCATGGAAGTGTGATCAGTGTAATGGCTTGTACGACTGACATTAGTAGATTGTGTTGGGCACAGAATTTCCAGGCCCGATTGGCCGCCGAAGCAAGAGAAGCAAAAAGACAGCAAGAGGCCTTCATTGACGTAGTCTCGCACGAGATGCGAAACCCGTTGAGCGCCATCGTGCATTGCGCAGACGCGATTGCCAATGCGATTGAAGAGTGCCAAACCCAGCTCGCCGATATACCCGTACCGTGCCTCGATACTCTGAATGACAACATACAAAGCGCAAACGTCATCATGCAATGTGCAAATCACCAGAAACGTATCATCGACGATGTACTCACATTGAGTAAACTCGACTCCATGCTCTTGTCTATAACGCCTGTCGCAGTCAAGCCCACGAAGCTTGTAGACTCCATCGTCAACATCTTCCAGGCTGAGCTGAAGACGAATAAGATCTCGTACAACATCACACCGGACAAATCTTTTCTGGCCCTAGGCATTGACCACGTTTATTTGGATCCATCTCGGGTGACTCAGGTATTCATCAATCTACTAACGAATGCGATCAAGTTCGTCAAGCCGTCGAAAGAGCCGAACATCTCCATCCGCTTCGGTGCTAGTACGTCAGATCCCCGTGATCTATTCCCAAGAAATATGTTCTGGGCAACGGATGGCAAGCAAGACGGCGACGTTACCAGCAATCCAGACTGGGGTACTGGTGAAGAGATTTACCTTGCGTTCACAGTCAAGGACTCCGGAATTGGCTTACAAGAGAAGGAAATTTACAAGATATTCGAGCGTTTTCGACAAGCAAACGTAAAGACGCATGTCAAGTATGGAGGTAGCGGACTGGGCTTGTTCATCTCTAAAGCGCTTACTGAGAAGCAAGGTGGTGAGATAGGTGTCTCGTCGGTTCTGGGCCAAGGATCGACATTCGGATTCTATGTCAAAACGCGAAGGGTGGAATGGCAGCCCAGGACCCTCAAAGAAATGTTCCAACAGGCTGGACAAGAAGCAGCGGCTCGACAACTGCACGTGTTGTTAGTGGAGGACAACATCATCAACCAACAAGTTCTCGGCAAGCAGCTCAAAAAAGCAGGATGTCATGTTTCAGTCGCAAACCACGGTCTAGAGGCTCTTGAGATACTGGAAAGAGAAACGTTCGACATCGTACTGATGGATCTGGAGATGCCGGTGCTTGATGGCCTTGGCGCGATGCGCGAGATTCGTAGAAGGGAGAAAGAACAGGTGTACGCTTCTGAACGTTTGCCCGTCATCGCTGTTACAGCGAATGTCCGAAAAGAACAGATCGATACGGCTATCGCTGCCGGAGCAGTAAGTACCCAAAGATTGTTAGTATCAACCGTATGTTAACGGAGTGTGCAGGATCGCGTCATGCAGAAACCGTTCAAAGCGGCCGACTTGGTCTCCATGATGAAGTCGCTGATGCCGCAATTAGCGCCCTCGTCCATTGAACCGCCAACACCGGGACTGGGCCTTCAATCAAGTGCACTGGTACCCTGAATGAAGTTTCGTCAAGAAAACTAGTGAATCTATACGGCAACTAGGTTGTTGGCTCCAGGGAGTTGCCATTGATCATCCAGTGATCCATCGCGAAAAATTACGAAAGACCCGAGGATTGCTTTTGTGCTAGGAAGCGCGAATGTTTACCGTCTATCTCACGACCTCGCATCAAGATCCCTTCATGTGTTGTGGTTGTTAGAATAAGAAGTCGTGGTGTTTCCTGTCGTACCTGCTCAAGCTCAGATTCGAACATGGCTACAAGACGTGTCCAGATGCAGATGCGGCCACAACTGGTAACTCAGGTTCCTTGCCACCATGGAAGGTATCTTTTGATGCTGTGGACAGCTTCATTAACTCCAAGCGGTTTAGTACACAAGAGTTCGCGAAGAAAGTATGTCTTTGCATAGGAGAGGGGAGGACAGATGTTACATGGGTGCCAGTGCAAGGTACACGGAAGCTCAGTGTTATGAAGCTGTCAGACAGCGATGGACATGATGGAGATGTATCAACGAAGCCATGTACTATTGTCGCCACAATCACCAATACATATTGTGTGAGATCTGGATTGTGGCTCAACCTTACCAACCATTTGCGAACGTTGTCCCGAGTAAAGAACCATTGTTAGGTAGACCTCCACACAGTCGCATTGGAGACCCACCACTACTGCCGTGGTTAAAGACGGAGATATCACCATCTCAGACGCAGCCGCCGGTAAAATAGGGTCACCACATAGCCAACCAATCCAAAGTTCAACTCAAAACAATTGCAATCGGATCATGACAAAACGAACGCAAAAACAAAAAAGCTGGCCTGAAACGAAGACTCGTATTGTCATTGGGATGATTGATGACAGCATAACCTGGCCATGTGCAAGTATTTGGAATAAGGTCAAGAGCGTCGCGTAGCAGCTAAAAGGGGACAATGATTGACGCGTGAGGGCTCTTTGTTATTTTCTGCTTTCTACCCCAAGGCGCATGATGAATCTTACTCGCATAGCGTCGCTCAGATCGGATGCACGATGTCATACGAGACTGACCGACGGTCTAAAGTTGAGATGTGGGGAACTTAGAGAACTGAAATAAACAGTGGGAAAGTACATCTAGGCCGGCATCGACGCTATGATACGCTCGTGTGGCGCCGGTCCGGCCCTTCGTTTGTGGCGATGCCTGTTGCTTTCAATAATTAAATTGTCACGCAAGTTCGTTAGGCTGGGAGAGGCTGTTGCCCATCAGATGAGTAATTGCAGCCATGAGGAATATATGCAGTCATAACGGACGGTGTGCTTGCAGAATTTTTGTCCGGATGAATGTATTGTGAGATACAGTATGGTTCCTGCAGACTTGACCGCTATAGCTTTCTAGAAATATTTTCTACCATCATATCTCAGTCGATGCCAAGTAAGCTCTCGAAAAGAGTAGAAGAAGATGATAACGCCAACCTCGGAGGTTGAGACGAATTTTGCGGCGACAAACGCGCTGGATAGCGACTTTCCGGATACATGTCGGCGCTGGCCCTGTACATTGCAAGGTGTTGTTGTTTGAAGATGGTGTTGTGGCTGGCCTTAGTATCCATCCCTAAGAGGCCGGTGTCCCGTATGCGTCAGGCTACGGCTTCTCTCCCAGCATCAAGCCAGCAGCAACTGCCACACGTGCCGGTTATTTGTTAGAAGCACGGGTATGCGACTGAACACCTTCACCGCTCGCGCCGCTCCGGCAACTACGTATGGGTCGGTAGATACCGCATGTCCGAGTGCTTCATGCGCTCGTCTGTGCGATGAGGGGAAACTGCTAAAGCTGCTTGGCATGAGTACGCGTCGGGCTCTCCTTTCTAAGAAGCCCTTCTCTTTGCATACGGAAACGCGATGCGCAAGTTGATGCGTGTCGGGCTTTTCCAAAGAGACATTGCTGTGGTCCAAGCGCTAGCGATCGTCCGGAACGGAGTGTGGGGACTCATCCCATGCTGAAAGACTTTCTGCGACCCGCGGGCGTGCCCACACAATGCATGATAGTCAACTCGGAGGATGCCAATTGCGCGCTCGATATCCGCGCTTCAATCGGCTGGAGAAGCTTGTCGCCGTAGCTGCATTACATCTGCGGACCTGAAACACCGTCTTTTGCTGTGGTAGCCTTAGCCCCGGAGTCACTCAGCCTTCAAAACCACACTTGCGCACGCCCAAGCAGCAAACAAGCTCGCGCTGACGTCCGTCATCTTCTTGTCGTTCATCGCTCAAAGACTATGCAGTGCGCCTGTGCCGGGGAAGAAAGGTTGTTATCGGCAGAGAGGTCATAAATGGCGAACAGCAAGTAAGTATTCGATAGCTTCTCGACTGGGTGGGGAAGCAGCCGCCATCGTTGAGAGCTGACCGCCTGCACGAGCTCGCCGGACCTCAACTAACGGACTCCAGATACGAATATGTGCGCCAGTTTGAGCAGCCCGATGCTTTACTGGCCAATACCTGGATTGTAGTACGGATAGATGGACGTGGCTTTTCCAAGTACGTTCACCAATTTTCTCTCCTTCACTTGAGTTGGCAAACTTTCTCGGTCCGGCATATGCAGGTACCCGTAACCATGTTGCATGAACGGATATTGCTGCCCTAGGCCAACATTTTCGGCTATTATACACCATCAAGCGGTTTTCGCTAACAATACGCGAATAGGTTTACGTCAAAGTATGAGTTCGTCAAGCCGAACGATAAGAATGGGCTCGACGTCATGAACGCTGCAGCCCAGGCTGTCATGAAAGAGTTGCCTGACCTTGTCCTTGCATTCGGTAACAGCGACGAATATAGGTACGTTGCATTTTTTCCATTCGAGCATGTTATGTTTGAGGTAAATTGATGTTCCATCGAGGCCGCCCGAGGTTCCCGGCACGGTATATACATGGGTGGGGTAGCATGTTTCGGGACTGCTTAGCTGACGTGGGTCGCAGTTTCGTCTTTCACAAGGACTGTGCCTTATTCGAACGACGAGCAAGGTACGGAGATACTCCCATTGGTGCAACTAGTTGATCCCCGCTGGCGATTTGACCAGAACTGACCCGGATTTAGCAAGCTCACTACGACAATTGTGTCGACATTTACCTCGTACTATGTGTGGTCCTGGTCTACATACTTTCCGGATAAGCCGCTTACACCTCCTTTGCCCTCGTTCGATGGACGTGCAGTGTGCTACCCAAGCGACTCTAATCTTCGGGATTACATGAGCTGGCGTCAAGTTGACTGTAAGTAATATGATACGTCGGCCCCTTCCTACCCTCTGTTGTCAGCATTCTGGCTAAAGGCATCTCCTATGACCCTCTTTTTTATCTTTCTATTAATCGTGAATTGAATTTGACCATCGCCCAGGCCACATCAACAATCTTTATAACACTACTTTCTGGACTCTGCTTCAGCAGGGTGGCATGGGAGCTAGAGAAGCAGAACAAAGACTCAAGGGAACAGTTTCGTCCGATAAGAACGAGATTCTGTTCAAGGAGTTTGGAATCAACTACAACAACGAACCGGAGTGCTTCAAGAAGGGCACGGTACTATACCGAGACTTCTTCCCTACTCCACCGCCGGTCGAGCAGATAGCGTCACCTGTGCTGGCAGACTTTCCCACGCCACCTATAGCTCAGCCAACACCAAAGCGAGCATCCGGTCACCGGGCATCCCAGTCTATCGAGAGGGCCATCCCATATCTTCCAGATCAAAAGGAATTGATGGAGTCTCCAGAGCTTTGTTCGCGTCCGACCTTCTTGTCAACAACATCGACTCCGTCGCCACCACCTTCACCACCTAACATCTCGAGATCAGCATTTCCTAACCCGCTTAGGTCCAACCCGATCAGATCTGAGAACAATAGCCCTATGCCAGGTTCTTCCATGCCGCTTTCTCCGCCATCAACTGCAACATGGAATAACAACCCCTCATCGAATGGCAAACAGCACCTACCCTCATTGACGCCTTTGCCTCTATCTCCACCAATATTAAAGCCAAGCAGCAAGCCACCTCTGTCATTGAATCAACCAAATCCAACAACACGCACCAATTTCTCACCGGTGACACCACAGGGCGACTTCCCCGCAGATTTTCCCATAGCTGGCTACCGTCATCATACGAATGCAGCGGTCAGCCATGGATTCTCGCACTCTGCATCAGCTTCTTTGACGACGTCATACCCACCCCAGGTGAAACCCTCTCGGCTCAAACAACGATCACCAAGCCAGCCTTCGCTGCCGACATATTTTGCGTCATCCAGTACACCTGCACCACCGAAACCGCCATCTATACCATTGCGTATATCGAGCATTCCTGCCAACAGTAAGCCGCGCAAGCTATCCTTACCGGTCCATCGATCCACTACGACACTCAAAGCTACACGAGATAGTTTCGATGAGAAAGAGAGTGTAGTCAGCCCTCGAGACACAACATCCACGCCACCCCGTAAAGTCAGCCCACCAATACAAAAGAACAAGGCTCTACCAAGTCCCCCAATGAGCGCAGAGGAAGAGATGCGTACGCGAGAAAAGGTCAAGGGAAATAGTCCACAGCAAGAATGGAACAGGTATGCCATTGCATCCACCAATGGAACTGAGTCGCCCCAACGAAGAACTAGCGATTCAGACAACAGAGGCGGGCACGTCTGGGGTCAGGGAAATGTCTCCCACCCGGGCATCGCGGAACTCCACGCTGTTTCTACTCCAACGCATTCTGCGCCTACATCAGCATCATTGCAATACCCCTATTCGAGCCCAGACATCCACACCCTTCTATCCTCGACAACATCAACAGGTTCAAGTTCCCAAAATTACGCCACTTCCCATCCCTTGCCCAGTAGCCGGCCGTCTACCGGCCGCAACAAAGATGTCAACCGACCCAACCCCTCAAAGTCAAACTCCTCCAAGACTAAACCGGACAAAGGCAAACAGCCACAGCCGGAAACTGGAAGTCGGGCCGTAGTTGCTAATCCCCAACAAACCAATGAAGGTCGTCCGGTACACATGAGTCGTACGCAAAAAGATAAAGACAGAAAAAAGAGGAGCAAGGCGACTGTGCTCATGGAACATGTTGATATCATCAAGGATGAGTTCTGGGAGAAGAGGCCCTGGATTCTGAGTGGGAAGACAGGGTGAGATTGATCAGGGAAGGTAGTGTTTCTTTGGCGTTGCCCCTCGTTGACGACGCTTGAATTTTTCTCTTTCTTTCTTTTTGGATAGATGATGATTTTGATGATTTTGATGATGGGAATGTATGATACTGTAGGTGGGAGGGAGTGTGATTGTAAGATTTGCGTATTGTTGATCAAGGTGGTTTGAGTAATCGGATAGTACTCGCTCTCTACAACATCGTGCGATCCGTGTTATACAGGGTCTCGCTTATATAACGGGTATCTAAACTTCTCAAATCTATCCCATCTCGCGTCTCAACCGTGTTCTCCGCGCTGGAGTCATCCTTACGGTCTCTACCTTAAGCCCTTGTAGAGCTGCCCGAAGCCGTCATCGACGTTTTCTCCCCTTTCCTGCAACCCCTAAGATGTTGTCTCGATGTTCAAGGGGATATTCACAGTATCCAGCTTCTCGAGCTGTTGTTCTTGTTATAGCAATGGCCCCTGAGATGTTCTGCATGCACTTCCGAGCAGTACCCAAATTGAGAGATATACACGCAACGCATGGCGGGTTGATTATTGACCCGGCCGGTTACTACTGTACTCTCCAGCTGTCATGTCTTGATCACTGCTATTGCGCCTTGTCTGCTTTTTTGCTCTTCTTCTCCCTTTCATCGGACTTTTGTTTCTTCTCTTTGACTCCTTCCACATGCTTGGATGTGCGCGTCTCGGTCTTCTTCTGGATGCGACGAAGGACGTATTGCTCGAGCGTCTGACCCTTTGCCTTGGCGCGTGTCTCGTAATCGGTCTTTTCGGCGGGTTTCAGCTTCGCGAGCTTCTTTGCCACGGCTTTCCGATCATCCTTTAGTTCTGCAGTACGACCCTTGGCCTTCTTGCTCTTCTTGCCGGATGGCGCCTCTGCTTCATCTCGCTTGCGCTTATTCTTCTTGTCAGATTTCTCCTTCGTAGGCACAGGTGTTTCGGTATCGGATGCGGATGTAGGGGGAGTGCTTGTGCCAGAAGCAGGGTTCGATGCGTCTGTAGTAGTCGCTGAGGTATCTCCGATGGTACCCCCAATCATCTCGCCCTTTACGAAGAAGCCATATAGACCGCCACGATAGATGCCCTGCGTTCGAATCTGGTCGAGTGTGCTCTATGTGGAAGGTCAGTCGCTTGGTGGCGCAAGTGCGAAAAGACATGATCGCATACATCTTTTCCCGTGCCGATACTTTGCAGGCTCTGGTCGAATGCGCGCAACCACCACTGGTCGTCTGTCGTGTGCGCGGCCTTCTTCTTGCCGAGTCCTAGCTGATCATTCTTGTGCGCGATGAGAAGCGGCTTTTTGATGCCGCGGCCAGATTGATCGAGAGAGTGACCTGAGCCCTGCCAGCCCTGCTTGCGCAGATATGCCTCGGCGTTCATTGCAGGTGAGGTGAAGGAGTGATAGCCGGCTTCGCGCGTCTGGAAATTTTGGTGGGGAAGTCTTGGCTAGCGCGATCGACTTGCGGACCCCCGAGCACTACACAACCCGGGCTACCGTTAGCTTAACCAACTCTACCCATGCACTCCATGTCCTGCTCATAGGCATCGCTGGGGTGTTGGCTGTTCAACGCAAAAGAACAGAATCATGTGGAGGACTGTCCTCATTTTGACCATTTGCTGCAGTAGGCTCAGTGTCTGAGTGTTCTGGTCTTTGTTTAATTGGTTCTGAATCTTGAGTGACAACAAGACTCGAAGAGACTGCGGTGACGCGCATAATTCCTGGCTGACAATGGAGCGAGTCGCAACTTCTCAGTGCTAATCGTACCTTCTTATAGCCCAGGTCGTTCTGTCATTCGATCCAATGATGCCTTGGCACAGCATTCACAATCATATGGGGTCAATACGTACAAACAGTAAAGCAACAGATGTTATGTACTGGCACTTTCCTATAATGCGACTCGGCTCGGTCTTCACTTTCCACCCGATCAGGTCGCGAGTCCCTTCCCGATTCTCACCTCTCACCGTTTTCAAGGGCATAGTCTTTCCCCCAATTCACTTCCTTTTGTACACTATCCACTCTCGTTGAAACTGATTTTGCTAAGTGATCAACTCTTCTGCCTGCTAACATTGGCTCTATCAACTTACAACGACCTGCTTGATCCATCATGTCGGCTACGAGATATATATGGCTACTGTCGCTGCTGACTATCACTGTCAGCGCTTCCGTTATCCAAAGCAGAAATAACCCTCAATACGCAGGCATTCAATTCGCCCCAGACAGAAAGCTCTCGGTTACCGTCTTCAGTGATCTTCACTTTGGTGAGCGTAAGCTATCACGTCGATTATCCGTCTGTTACCAGATCTCACTAACATTTGTAGCTGATTCCCTGCGCGGTCGTCCCTATGCAGACCTCAAGACGGTTGGTGTCATGAACTCTGTTCTTGACAATGAGCAGCCTGATTTTGTCGTTCTCAATGGCGACCTGGTGTCTTGCGAATGGGTTGGTCCTGGCAACGCAAACACGCTGATCGACCAGATCATGGCTCCACTTGTCAGCCGCAACCTGCCTTTCGGTGCGACATTCGGTAACCATGATGCATCCAAGACCTGCAGTACTAGAGACATGTCCGAACACATGTGGTGGGACGTCAAGGGTCGGAACGGCAAGAAGCTGTCTTTCACAGCGCAGTCGGTGGCTGGCGAAGTCGATCAAGTCGGCTGGAGCAACTACTTCGTTCCTGTTTACAGCTCCGATAATGCTTCTGAGCTGAAGATGCTCATGTGGTTTTTCGATAGCAAGGGCGGTCGCAAGTATCAACCAACTGGTGACGATATCGGCGTTCCCAACTGGGTTGACAAAAAGGTATGTGACGCTTTCTACCATGTTATGTGCTGTACTGACTCTTGCAGGTCGTCGAATGGTTTCGCAATACCAACAACGCGTTTACCCAGCAATACGGCCGTGCGATCCCCAGTATGGCTTTTGTGCATATTCCGATTCGTGCAACGAGATCTTTTCAACAGAACGGGCGTGACCGGAAGACGAGTCCAGGCCTTAACGAAGAGAACATAGGACACCAGGGCGACGTTTGCGACAGCACTGGAAACAACTGTAAGTACGGCGGCGCCGACATCCCGTTTATGACGGCGCTCGTCGAGACTGAGGGACTCATGGCCGTCTTCTCTGGTCACGACCACGGTGTAGACTGGTGCATGAAATGGGCCAAAGATCTCCCTGATACCTCTCCTAAGAATGGTAATGGGCTAAATATCTGCTTCAATCGCCACTCGGGTTACGGCGGCTACACCGATTGGACACGCGGTGCGCGCCAGATCGTTGTCAAAGAGGACATGTTGGACGCGAGGGTCGTGGATACTTGGATCCGCATGGAGAACGGAAAAATCTCAGGACAGGTGTCACTCAACGCTACTTTCGGTACAGACCAGTACCCGGTGGTGGACAAGTCAAAGACCTCGTAGCCTGAGCCAAAGCGACTAAGTCCGACCTCTTGAAATGTTGGGCCGGACATATGCTTCTTACCGGGTTTACTGTATCTTGCATTGGCGTGGAAGTTTGGAGGCGTACGATAGTTATCATACTAATGAGTAGCTCAATTTGACATGGTTTCCTACTGCACATGGTAAAATTTAATTGAGTGCTATATCAGAATCGCGCAGGTTTCAGAGTCCCGCTTTTCTTCAATCATTGCCATTGGGATTTGAGCGGACGTTGAACCGGACTTGGGTCAAGGGGCAGTGCATTGCTCGGCTGCGGGCAAAATCTATTGGCCCCACCTGCGCGCTCGAAAGGGCAACCGAGCCATATGACGTCAAGTTCTTCGATTCCAAAACACCAACACTAGGTTCCCGAGCGCATCCGCACAGTCTCGCCAACGGAGCAAGCGTCTCATGCGCGTCTTATAGCCGCTGCTAAGCATGGCGAAGCATCTTCGACCGTGGGTCTTCGCGATCGCTCCATCGCCAGTCGCGCCCTGAGCGTGGCTCTTTTGCACTGACGTGTTTTGTTGTGCACGTTTCCTTTTTCCTTTCAAGATACCCTACATAGCCGTTCCTACCGTCGCTCATCCTTCATTATGTCGTATCTCGAGCGTCAAACGACGCGGATTACCGGCATAGAACATGGCGCTCGTCGACGCAGCGTCCTCAATCCCTCATCTTCAAACAAGGTGCCCAACGCGAAGAAACCACGCACACGACCCCCGGCATCGCTACGCGACCATCTCCCATACCCTAACTCCACCCTCTCTCCTACTTCAGGACCGTACTCCATAGGAAGCATGGAGATAGAAGTCCCTGTTGAGAATCCCCGACCGATCTCGAACATAAAGTGCAAGGGCCGGCACCTCCTGCAGTTGGAGACTGTTCTATTCACACTATACTACCCCTCCTCGTTTGGAAGTGGAAACGGGAACGCTCCAGGAGGAGAGAAGAAATGGAGTCGAGAGACATGGCTTCCAAGACCACGCATGGAAACAGCGAAGGGTTATGCGCGTTTTGCTGGCATACCAAGCTCTATAAGCATTGGTATTTTTGGCGCAACCACCATGCTCACGAAGCTACGTGGCTACAGAAATGCTCCTCCTGCAACTCATTGGCCTCCAGAAGGCAACATGAAGAAGAACGGTTATAAGATCAAGAACCAGCAGGGCAGTCCGCCCGAGGACATGGGCAAGGAGCCCAAATTCCCTCTGCTGATATTCAGTCATGGTCTTGGGGGCTCAAGAACTGCATACAGTAGCTTGTGCTCAGAGTTTGCAAGCTATGGCTTCGTCGTTTGCGCGGTGGAGCATAGAGATGGGAGTGGGCCACGTACTTTCGTCAACCACAAGAGGCGAGGGAAGCGGAGAAAGGACCCGCAGGGAGGAGGCAAAGCAACACATAGTGCTTGCGACGGGGACGAAGAGGATGATGAAAGTTTCGACAAGTTTCGGCACCTGGACCACACTGAGGAGGAGATCGCGCGAGGCTATCACCATGTCGTACGTCTCCATTGGGTTCTTTTTGGCGGTGGGTAATACGGGGCGTGATAGGCTGACGATCGCAGGACTACATCTTTCCCAAAGATAACCCAATGGATACTGCACCGAACAATGAGCACGGCGTAGACGGCGAACTTCGGAGCGCGCAGATCGAAATGCGTCTCTGTGAACTCGAGGAAGCATACCGTGTACTCAAGATCATATGTGCTGGTGATGGAGAGAAGATCGCACAGCAGAATCTACGTGGGGAGGGTTACGTTGGCGGCTCTTCAAGAGGCCTGAGTGGAATTGATTGGGCACAATGGAAAGATCGGTTTCACGTAGATAAGATGACCGTCGCTGGCCATAGTTTCGGAGCAGCGACTGTAGTAGAGGTGCTCAGGCATACAGAGCGATTTACTAACGTCCAGGCTGGAATCATCTATGATATTTGGGGGTAAGTACGTCTCTGCCCTTATTACATCAAAACTAACATACTTGCAGTGCGCCTGTAAAGCCACCAGTGGACGACCCAAAACATCGGATACACCTCCCCTTACTGGGTATCGCCAGCGAGGCGTTCATGTATTGGCAGAAAAACTGGGATGCAGCCATGTCTCTGATGAGAGAGGCCAGCGAGCATGGCGCCCCTGCGTATCTCTTCACTGTCCGAGGCTCCGTGCACATCAACCAAAGCGACTTCTCGATCTTGTACAAGCATATTTCATCGTTGTTCCTGAAGGCCACTGTCCATCCGCAAAGGGCTATTGACCTCAATGTCAGTACAAGCCTCGAGTTCCTTAGGCTAGTAGCACCAGATTCTGGAGGTGGGAAGTCTATCATCAGTAGGTGCATGACAGATGAGAAGATCTTGGAAACGCCTCTCATGGAAGACATCCCCGACGAGCACCGACCGACCGACCAATGGATAGCCGCTCGTCTACGGGTAGACAATGAGTTCAGGAAACGATTGGCCGCTGGCCTCCAGAGGAAGTTTCGGCGCAACTTCCAAGGTGGCATGGGCACTGGATACAGTACTTCTGATGAAATGTGGTGTTTCCGCAAGCCTTCTGATGAAGATCTGCAAACATGGATCAACGCAGAAGATAGGGGAGAGAAGCGCATAGATGAAGACCGAGCCACCGCACCAACTGAGATTCAGAATAGTGATCATGCAGCTGCCGATGCTCATAGATCTGCATCGTCTGCCCGGAGCGATGCCGAGACGAACGAGAGTACACTGCGAAGTAAAGACGTTGGAGATGCAAAGGATGGATCCAGCTACCGAACGGGGCATGAGGTGCGAGATAGATATGATAATGCTGAGAAAAACACTTGTGGGAAACCTGGAGAGACAGAGACATCAGCCGCTACAGGACAGGGTGAAGATGCACCGTCAAACAACTGGTTGGGTGTTCTTCCTAAGCTTAGAGATGGACCGGGTCAGGCGTCAGCGTAGTTACAGTGCTAGATTATGTGATCATACACAAGCTTTAAACGTTCTTGACCAGACGCTTAAATAGCTAACTTTAGACAGATGCAAGTGGCAGGCACAGTGTGCTCGCCTTGTAGGTTGGGGTGCATAGTACCAACGCAATTGATGTCGGCCACCTAGATAACCCGGGGTCCGTATTGCTTGTATTGTCTGGACAGCAGAACGAAAGAGACCAGCACCTTTCAGACTGTGAATCGGGATAGTGTCAAGCATCTATAAGATTTTTGCACGTCTGATTGAAGTAATTTAAGATTGTTTGTCTTTCGCAAAACTAGCCTCGTCATCATGAAGCTGATAATGAAGCGCATGATGGACTGACCGCTGCAAGCACTGTGGATTGACTGATGGGATTCTTGGCTCCACGTGATTGGTCAGGCTAGTCGGTAGTTGCCGAAACGGAAATTTAGCGTTCAGTAATCATGTTGCAAGTCGTCCCGACCTGCACCAGAGCGACAAGACACACCGCGAAACAATTGGCCACAACTATCTACCAAGATCTGACAACCTCGGTCTCAAACGTCTTGTCGATTATGATTTCCAAGAACAGTCTAGGAATGGTAGATCTGTACGCAGGAATAGCAATGTAGATGGTACCAGTATGAGCGGAGAACCCACTCGGCCATGAACCCACGGTCATGCAATCGTCCGCACCTCTCGTCCTACATGAACTAGCCGCAGCTTGTGCGGAGACGCGCATTAGCCCTGTGTAACAGCGGACCCTTGATCGATCTCGAACCTTATGAGCTGAAGCGGCCGTACGCTGAGTCGGGCACCGGACAGTCTTTTGCTTTTCCATGCTGGCTGGCTTGCGTCACGTTGGATTAGTTCTGGACGCCATACGACCCGGCGATCGCTTATTTACATATGCACAACGTCTTCCCGCTACTTTTACGCGAAAGCGATTACTTCATCGAGAATCTGGACAGAGGATTTCTGCTATTTGTACAAGTGAACGATAGCGGTGTTTCAAGAGTCGGATCGGAGTGACAGCAACCCGCAGATTCCGACTCCGGTTCGCTCTGCATTCCTTCACAAGTTTCGCTACAGGTTCCACCGAACCCCTTCGGAGACATACCTCCGGCGTTCTTACTTTGTTCGTTCTGCAGTATCAGAAGCGAAGACCAAAATCATGACGAGCTCAGAGTCGGAAGAACAACCGCAGACATCGCGAAAGCGCTCGCGCAGGAGTAATAGTGGCGATGACGGTGGTGCTGGAGGAAAGAAGGCTAGGGGACGGCCCCGGGTAGATACGCAGGATGCCACAGCCGCAGATGTGAGTGGAGACGTCGTGTCTTTTCTTTTCTTTTTGCCCTGATTCGTTATTGCTCAATCCTACAGCGGGATGGAAGATGAGAAATGTACACCTGCTCTCATCGAAAAGGCTGTGAGGCAGTGCCATTCTTCAAGCTCGACCCGCTTCGAGATCGACCTTCGTCGCCCCCTATGGACGACCCCGCTCCACCCGCAGTGCCCATTTCATCACCATTCAGCCTGAACCATTTCACACCTCAATGTCTCAGACCACGCGTCGACTATGCTGACAGATATGGCAGAGACGAAGAACTCAAATCCGTCTTGCTCAGCGAGCTTATCGCCAACGGAAAGAGACAACGATCTCATCTCTGAAAAACCAAAGCGCACAGCTTCATTCCATCATCGAGCAGATGAACAAGACTTTTCTAAAGCTGAATGAGTCAACCGTGAAGTCAGGTTTGTTGCAACTGAATCCGACATTGGCTCAGGAGTTCAAGCTGGTGACGGAGACATTTGCGAACTTGGTTAAGACAGCCAGCGAGGGTCAGTATGAGGGAGACGAAGATGGCGAACAAGGGGATCAGGGAGCTGCTGAACGCAGTGGTGCACAAAGACCAGTCGAGCCGGAAGTCGAAACTCAACACGTTGGATGGGGCTATTCCACAAACTCGAAGCCAGATGTTCAGAAGCGCCCGCAACAACAGCAACAACAACAACAACAACTATCAACCCCGGATAGCTACCTCGCACATATCAGTGCTGCCTATGGTACTGTAGACACCAGCAGGAACGATCTAGTGCCATGCCGTGCGTTTCCAATTGGCGCTGTTTTTGATCAATCGAGCCGATCTTCACAGCCCCCAGGAGATCCACCGTCTTCGCATACCTCGTCGCAATCAGCACAGCTTCCCTTTGGTCTTGTAGACTTACTCAGCCAACAGCAAGCACCCTTCGCATCATCAAACCCGCACATCTACTCCGTTCGTATACCGACGCCTGACGTTACTCCACCAATAAACAGGCTTCCAACACCTCCTACAACGAAAGTCCCGACGAAGACACTTCAACCGGTGACAACATATAGTTTCGAAGAGACTACATTTGCTAGGAGACTATCCAGGGCGGCGCTTGAGACGGGGTTCCATTTGCTGAGTCGTGCCAACGATCGTCCTACGGTACGTACCCAATTAGCCGATGTACGAATTGCCTTTTAACCTCACTGCCCTACTTCAATGATCGACAAGAGACTAACCATTGCAGTTAGGCGATAGATCGCGTCTTCAAACTCTCTCTACCCCACCAAACTCTCGATCAAATACGGAGCCGCTTCCGGACTATTATGTCCCGTTCTATTGATGAAGACCTGGACTGGTGGGAATCGCCTTTCATCCATCTCGGCGGCGCAGGAACTCACTATCCGCGACGTGATGCTGCGGGCAATATAACACATGTTAGGAATGGGTGGAACATGCGGCAAATTGGACCACCAGAGAAGAGAGTACATATAATAGAGAACACAGAAGACGGCAGGAGTGAGGAGTTGGGTGATTTGGATCTCAGTGGATTTGAGGGAGAGTGGTTCGACTGCCATGATGTGCAAGGGTATTTGGAGGATAAATACGCGTGCAAGCTCGATCCGAGAAGTTCATTCGCGGAATGTGTTATCGACGAAGAGGACGAAGGAGCGCCCGAAGTTCATAGCAGTGCTCTACGACCACGTCCAAGCATACCAACGGAGCTGCCTCGTCTCAACAATAGTTCTACCAACCCAGCGACAACTTCGTCAAACACTTCGACAAATCGACCTGGTCAGCCTTACAACATGGCAGACAATGGAGCCTTCGGTCTAGACATGTCATTCGGTCACACTAGCGACTTTCCCAGGCTCATCAATTACGATATATCTTACGATCAAACACTAGGATTAGATCTCGCCCCTGGATACAATTATGATTTCTCGCATTCCGATGGCTTTCACATAGGCGGCATGGATTTGGGCATGGATATCATGAACGACGTGACTGCGGCTTTGCCAGTGGTGAGGCAGAAGCGGAGAAAAACTGGCTGGGTCGACGTCTCAAGACTTATCGATGGTGAGTGCAAATGGTGACGAGAGACGAATAGTCCCAAGGTTGGCTAACAAAGTGACAGAGATCATTGTACGTGGCGTTTGCCTGGGGCGGTCGCCGGGATACAGGCGTAAAGATGTAGATTTAGCGGTGCGAAAGTCTCTGGTGCATGAGCATTGAGCCAGTCGTTGCAAGTACGGTGTTGAATGTACCGAGATATCCAGGCACTACTAGAAGAAGCAGCACGAGTTTTGCTTTTGATGCAATTTCTGCGGCCTAACCCAGGACCATCTGATGATTTGACGACATGTGTATCAATAGAATTATCAAGTCGCATGCATATTGCGCACAATCATTTGCTATGACATGAGTGTACGAGAACGTTCCATCATGTTGCTGCGAAGGCATTGTTCAGCTGGTTATGGTCAGTGTCACGTGTCGCGCTAGTATAGCGTTAGGCGCTAAGGAATCGGCGCCCTCAATGATTGCCGGGACGCCGCTCACTATCACTCATACATCCACGACCACGAACGCTGAGGGCACCCGAACACGTCGTACAAAGCCTTCCGTCTGGGCTAGCGATATCCGTAGAAGTTCCTTGACAGCGCAGAAGCTTCCTCAAGCGCGCGCACCTATTTGCAGCCTCAAGCGCTGACGTCGCCTGCCTGGCTTGCCTGCCTATTCCTCAAGCCTCTGCACGCGAGCGACCATCGCAAGCCTTTGTGCAGCCTTCACAGAGCCCATATCGTATACTAGATAGCTGAGACCATAGCAAGCAGTCACCACCATGTCGAACTCGGTCGTGGTTAGTATCCCCTGGGCGCGCATGCGAGCGGTGGAAGGGTGAAGGCAGGCTTGCTAACAGCGACAACCAGGGCGGTGTCTACCAGCAGATCATCGAGAAGGTGATCCAGACGTCGCAGAATGATTTCGAGGAGTCTGGCGTCGACCACACGACGCTCGACGAGATGAAGCAGGTATGTTGCAACCTGGCCTCTCCATCTCAGGCGTCGCGCCTTTCTTTCCTTTGTCGCATCACCACTGCGGCCCCTGCACCACACCGCTTGTTGTGTTTCTCGCATTCCTTGTCAAACAATCTCTCGCATCGTTTTCGCTGGCTGTGGCGATCGCGCCATGGTCGCCTGGCCTGGGATGTTGGGCGGCTGAAAGCGGGGCGGAGTTACCGGTCGGTCTGGCAGCTCGGGGGCGCCTCAGTATTTGGGTCACCTTCTTATAGCCCCTGCACAGCTCCCCCACCCGCCAAGACCAACGCATCACTTCCCAACGCGGTATAGCTTGTCATGTGACGGCTGCTTTTATATCATGTTTCACTGCACAGCCATGCAGAACATATACTGACCATCACTAGGGCTGGCAAGAGAGGCTATCTGCTCTCAAGATTGCTCACTTCCCTTGGGATCCCGCCCCTGAGCCTGTTCGTCAGCCGCCTACGGTGCCATCCAACGTCAAGGTTGACAATGATATGCCTCCCGTTTCCGGTCCTCAGGATGGCCTAAACTTCCCGAATGTGCCCGTCAAGACAGAAGGAGGATATCAGCCACCTGTTGCTAACTACCCTCCAGCCCAGACTGCGAACAATGGTTATGGTGGCAGCTATGATCAAAACACACAGCTGGCAAACCAGCGCGCGGCTGCGCTCGTCCAGCAACGCATTCAGCAACAGGGACATGTGCAGCAGCAAAACTTTCCCAACCTTGCTCAACAAGGACATTTGCCGCAGATGCCAATGCAAAATCAGCAGCAGCGGATGATGGCGCCACAACAACAGCATCAGCGCCCGCCGCAACAGCAACAGCAACAGCAACAGATGCCGCAGCAGCGTCCACCGCCGCAAAATCACATGTACACCTCTCAGACTGATGGTTCAGGTGATGCCATGGCCGACTGGGAGGCCCTGAAGGCTGCGCGAGCTGCTGATGCAGTTGAGCGTATGGCAGCAGACGACTTCATGCGTGCCCGTGTTGATGCCATGGCTATGCGTCAAGACAGTGGCCTCATGGTGCCGCTCGATTCGATGCCAAAGGGCAGGAAGCGAAAGGCTGCTGTGCGTGTGTTACAGACCGAAGATGCAGAAGCATCGTCAAGTGCACCAGGCCCTGCTCGCTTTGACGGCGACGACGATGTCAAGCCCGAAGAGGATCCGGATGATGCGATCAACTCTGACCTTGATGATTCAGAGGACGAGCTTGGCGATGGCGACAACAGTGATGACGAGATGGTCGACTACATGCTCTGTACCTATGACAAGGTCCAGCGCGTCAAGAACAAGTGGAAGTGCACCCTCAAGGACGGTATCCTGACGACGAACAAGAAGGAGTGAGTTTCACGCTGAGATGATGAAAGAAAGATTACTAACGACATGGAAGATACTTGTTCCACAAGGCAAATGGTGAATTCGAATGGTAGAGCATTCGCAAACCATTGCTAATGCCCGTGGTAGCTGAACTCGAGTTCTAAGTCGCTCCGTGCAGCGCACGAACAACACTCGATCGAGACGCGAGTCTAGTACGACGGTAACAGAAGAACCGCCCACCTCGTTCCCTCGTTTGCGACGATCACTACGGCTCGGTACGAACATCGATAACGGGCATCAGATTGGATACCAAAGCCTACTCATATGAAGTTTAAAAAGAAGAAAGAAAGCAAGAAATCCCAATAACGCACGCATTACTTGATACCCTGGATCTGGACGACTGGGCGTCCGCAATATGTCCAGGTTTACATTAGTCAAATTGAATTTTTAGTTGGGGCAAGATTAGAGGTCTGGTTGGTTTCCATACCATAAAGCACAGGCGTATCGGCTCTATGACGCTTCACATTTCCTTAGGTGGAGTTTTCCTAGTGCATTCAGGGAAGATAGTTGACGTCTGGAATCATGTTGGCGGCTGGAGCTCAGCACCTCTTTGGCTGGGTGGCTGTTCTCTGCGTCTATCAAAAAGAAGGATTCCAGCAAAACCATTACAGAAGGCATTGTACGATTGTGGGCTTCTTCTTTCGCTCTGTTCTAGTCTAGGGCAGAGTTGCAGAAATAATGAACAAACAGAATTGGCACATGCTGAAGACAAAGTCCATATTTACTGCCCGTGATTGCTAGGAGTATACTATCATAGCACGTCTTGATCTCCACTTTCCTCACCGCTTCCGGTGCCGTTGTGGATAATGGTCTGATCAGCATCTCCAGCATCACCTTCTTCGTCATCCTCTTCCACGAGCGGGACGAATCGGAAGTCGACAAAGCTTACTTTGCCACCTGTCGCATTTCCAGTCGCGGTCTGGGAACTTGATAGACCACTCTCAACCTCGATCATGAATTGTAAACTCAGTACGCCTTGAGTGTCTGCCCGTATGCTGACTTTGGTCGCAACGTTCATGGCACGCGCAGCCTTCTGTATCAAGCTGAACTTGTAGGACGAGCGAAGTACAGTGTGGGGATCGCTCAGCTGGAAGGTTTCGAGCAAATTGGCTGCCTGATCTCCTGTCTCGCTATTGACGTTGAAATTTGTGGACACAGGAGTGCGGAAGGTGGAAGGCTGGGGCTGATTGTTAAACTCGACGCGCGCAGAGCCCAGAGTGCCTGACGATGCTAGGGCGAAGAAGGGTTTACCGCGCACTGTTTTGGCGTACATGGTCAGCTTCTCCGGGCTTGTGGATGATAGTTCTTGTATTGCGTCGTATAGCCAGCTGCCTCGCATGATGACTTTTAGTGCAAGGGCCTGGCGATCAAATGGTATCTCGTCTGCATATTCGGGCTCGTATGTCGTGAGGTCGCATTGCGTGCGTATGCTTGCCTCGGTGAGAGTCACGGCTAGTGGAGCACCAGGGCCATGGTAGCTTATTCGACAAAGGTTGTTCATGCCACCTAGTATGTTGTTTCCTGTAAAGGCTGTGCTGGTCGGGTAAGGAGCGTCGCGCGCCCATGGTGGCTTGGATGTGGAGGGGTCGGTGAGACCGAAGATCTGGAGGGTCTCGAGGAGAGCGGGAAGGGATATCTGAAATGCTGGGGTGGTAGTAGATGGTGGCTCGGATTCGTCATCGCTGTCGGAGTGTTGGGAGTTGTGTAGTGGGGCAGGCGCATTGAAGGTGTAAGTTGTGAAGAGAGACTTGTCGAGGAAGGCGGAAGCTGTGGTCGCGTCAGTCTAGAGATGGGACGAAGGGACGGTTGCAGGTAGAAGTACCTTCCATGACGCTTGCCTCATCGACAGCGAGCTTGATGCCAATGTCGCTGATCTGGACGTGGGCCTTGTTGGAGAAGGCGATGCAACGAAGGAGTAGGTAGAGCTGTCGCGCAGAGCCTGACACTGCCGTCAGGATCGGAGGCTCGTCTTGGTCCATGGTGCTGTGTTGTAAGTGTGTGGGATGTAGGGTATTGCGCAGGTAGTGTCTTGAACTTTTTATTGGTATTCCATAGATTGTACACAGAGTATGCCCCTAACGCCGGACCGAGAAGTAGGAAACTAGACGTAGACGCCGACTGCGCAAATCATGTAGACTGCACCGAAGCTGTTTGCCGTCAGTCAGTCAGTCAGTCAGTTGTCGGTCGCATCTTGTGTCTTTTCGAGGCCACGTACCCGAATGCTAATGAGGCCGGAACACCGAGAACGGGGAGGTTGACGAGGGATCGGTCTGTTTGCGGATAAGCAGAGGTTCGCTGGAGGAGGGTGAAGGTGTCGCGTACTCATGCCGAAGAGCGTGGTCAGGACGAGGGCTGCGCGTCGTTAGTATAGCAGCTCCACCAAGCACGAGAGCAGAGCTTCCAGCATACATATGGCTAGCAGCACGAAGCCGACTGTGAACTGCGTGTTCTTTCCAATGGCAGGACTGAAGGGCGAGGACGCAGCAGCCTCCCAGACGTCTACAAGTGGGCTCGACATGTTTCTGGGCGTGCAATTGGGCGGGATCAAGTGTCTCTTGCGTGAAGCTGCTTTGGTGGCCTTTGGTCCTCACTGAACGGCCATCGGCCATTGATTGGTGTGGGGCCGTTAGCGTGGGAGGCGCACCTTCCCCAACATTCAGTCAACACCACGCGCAGGGCCGAGAGAAGGCGCGACTACATAGCTGAAAGCGCCCTACACCACAACATGGCGGGCGCAACCGATGAAGGTAAGTGTCCATGTCCCCGTCAGCCTCCTATCTGTCCACAGCCCTTCACTGGTGTCGCGCATCTCGCATGTATCCCCGCAACAACATCCCGCAGTTGCGCGACGTGTTGGGCTATCCCACCTCTCCGCCAACTTCACCGCTACCCATAGCTCCCCCCATAGCTCCTTCACAAACACGTCCATGTTCTCCGGACACACAGCTCCACCGACTGCAAGCTAATCCGTCTTGTCCCAAAGCCAAGCGCAAAGCGACTGCCGACCCTCCCAATGGCTCTCCCAAGCGCATAAAGCAGGACCCCTCGACCCCCTCTGCCACCGACGATGCGCCCGCACCCCCCGTGAAACGCATAGTCCCATTCCCCGAGAAACCTGCGGTAATAGAAGAGCGCAACGGAGAAATCGAATTCAGAGTCGTCAACAACGATGGGGAGAGGGAGAGCACTATTATCTTGACGGGCCTCAAGTGCATTTTCCAGAAGCAGTTGCCCAAGATGCCAAAGGACTATATTGCCCGTCTTGTCTACGACAGAACACACTTGAGTATAGCCATTGTGAAGCATCCCCTCGAGGTGGTAGGGTATGTACGCCCATTCTCCTCGTTGACAGTCAATTACTGACAGTATCATGGCACAGTGGCATCACATACCGCCCCTTCGACAAGGGTCAATTTGCTGAAATCGTCTTCTGCGCTATCTCATCGGACCAACAGGTCAAGGGCTACGGTGCCCATCTCATGTCGCATCTTAAAGACTACGTCAAGGCTACCTCGCAGGTCATGCACTTCCTCACCTATGCGGACAACTATGCTATTGGTTATTTCAAGAAGCAAGGCTTCACCAAGGAAATCACCCTGGAAAAGTCAAGATGGATGGGTTATATCAAGGATTACGAGGGCGGCACCATCATGCAGTGTAGCATGGTACCCAAGATACGGTACCTGGAGAGTGGTAGGATGTTGTTGAAACAGAAGGAGTGCGCAAACGCCAAGATAAGGGCTGTCAGCAAGAGCTACGAAGTCCACGCGCCGCCAGCACAGTGGGCAAAGGGAGAGTTGAAAGCCATCGACCCCCTAACCATACCTGCAATCAAGAACTCGGGTTGGTCGCCTGTCATGGACGAACTCGCCCGCGCACCCCGCCACGGACCAAACTACAACGCCCTTCTCCATCTCCTCAACGACATGCAGAACAACAGCAACGCCTGGCCCTTCCAACAGCCCGTCAATAAGGATGAGGTGTTGGACTACTACGACGTCATCAAAGAGCCCATGGACCTTGCGACTATGGAGGAAAAGCACGAGAAGGATCTTTACCCTACTCCCGAGGACTTCATCAGAGATGCTAAGCTCATCTTTGACAATTGCCGCAAATACAATAATGAGAGTACGCCGTACGCCAAGGCTGCTAACAGACTGGAGCGGTATATGTGGCAGCGGATACGTGATATTCCAGAGTGGTCGGTAAGTCTTCTATCCATGACGATCTACAATGCAGAATGGGATCATGGCTAACAAATCATCAGCATCTGGAAGGTGAACTAACAGGAAAGTAAGAGGTCGGTCTTCCGATTGCTTTGATTTTCCGCTGTTGAGCAGCCATTGTGGTAGCTTGCATCGTTCTATCAATTGTCTTGTTGTTGTTGTCTTTAGCGGCATTGGGAAGGTGTCTGGTGTACGGTATGTCGTATTGACGAACGGGGGCTTGGCAGGCTCGTTATACCCTTTTTTCGTACACATTTGATTTGAAATGTTCATATATTTTCCAAAGAGTGACTGCCGTAGAAAAATCTCAGAGCTTGATTGTTTGCTAGTCACCGATCACAGATCGCGATAGACTGATGTTTCCAGAGCATCAAGCCACGCCAGTAACTGTTGCCTCTTCTGCTTTTCGAGGATTGTAGGACAAGTGTGTATAAACCTCGGTATTATAGTTACCATGGAGGAATTCATATTTTGTTGTATCTGACATGATTACCGTACCACATAGAAGTGAAGGAGCAAGTTGGCCTCGTCTACTCGAAACATCGCACCTGTCTTGTGACAGGGCTTTGACGTGAGGCGGTACTGCTTGCAACTGTACACAACAATCACTGATGTGATGTATCATTTCTGCGTGATTGCCTGTTCGCGTGTTTGCCTGCTTGCATTGATTTCATATGACAAGCCAAAGTGTGGTAGCACTGAGCATACGTTCCTGATCAAACACGTAGGACCAGGCACATGGGACTAGGCACATCTGACTAGGCAGGTAGGACCAGATTCTGTGTTCGACCAAGACGAAGCGGTTGGTAACCTTGAACCAAGCCTGTGCGTCATAGTGCAGCCATGTCAACATGTTGTGTTCCTCAACCTTATTGTGGCGTTTGTAGCATGATTTATGTACTCTTTTGACGCGTTCTGAAGCGAGGCTTTGCGGTTTGGCGATGTGTTGTATGTACGGCTACTGGATGGGAGTGAGCCAACACGATGTGTGCATAGTGGCTGAGGAAATGCAGTTTGCGTATACTGGATTCGGTACGTGTTCGGGACAATGTGCGGCGTGCGATAGTGTAGATTCTGGGCTTTTGAGCATTGATGGTACGAGAGCAAGTGCGGCGGGTGAAGTCGTGGGAAAGATGTCCTGGCTGGGGTTAGAGAGAAGCGTAGCCTAACAAAATGGTAGTACCACAGCTCTACAGCGCAGGTTGATCACCTAAACAGAACCCAGTAATCTTTGCGACCACTCAGCAATTCGGATCTGGTGTTTTGCACAGAACTAATTTGTGCACCTCGCCATTTCGAGGGGGGCTACCTCAGACCTGGTGAATGTAAACATCAATCTTGTCACAACTCATCCTTCGCAAACAGCCGATCACCGGACTGTAATCTCGTTGTGATCTGTACCCAAAACTGTTCGATAAATCCTACAGAACAGCGCATCAGGTAGCCTCGTATGTGCTCGATGTGGTGTGCGTACAAAAACGTCCCTGACCCCTTGCCGCACCTGCAAGAAGTGGGGACCCTCTTACAAACACTGATAGGAGCTGTCCGAGATGACGGACATTCCGGATGCCAAAAAGTAAGTTACTCCGGTATGTGAAAACGAATCGCATCGATCATGATCCTACAAGTCGGAGGCTGATGGTAGGACTGAGGCTCCGCGGATGGCTGTGCCACTTAGTTGTTGGTATTCCGTGATTGTGATTGTAGCGGACGCCACGTAAAGTATGATTATGTACTGTAAATTGTAACTGGTCGCTTCGCGTAGGGCGGGATAGTAAGCCTGACAGTAAGTTGTGCCGAGGGCGCGCCCTAGCATGTTGTTCCCTAACACGCCAAGTCAAAGGCACAAGGAGCAAAGTTTTCCAGTTCCCGGGCATCTGTTAGATAGTAATCCTGTAACGCTGGTTTCACAGCTCATTTGGAGGTGATGCCAGCCCACACGATGGGCTACCGCATGGGGTTGGGCCCGCTGCGGGGAAGGGTCGAGGCTAGGAGGGTAAGCCCACCTGCGCGTCTTGAATGACATTCATTACAGTACACTACGTCTGAAACCATGTCAAGATCGCTCTGCAAGCCAAGAGAGCGGCTATCCAAAGTGTATACACAGGCGAGGTCCGCAACATGATTCGGCGCAAATATCTCGATGCGTGTCCTCGTGATAAGAACCCTAGCTCCCATCACCTGCAGGATATCACACAAGCGCGTTCGATGGTCGAGCGTGTTTAGCGCAGACCTGGTTATCGGAATGATGATGATAGCGTTGGCCGAGACCCGTTGGAAAGATAACCTTGAGGAACACCAGTCCAGCACTCGCTGATTGAGGCGCACGCCGTGTCTTACCATGGCGTTGGCGTGTGCCCCAGTGATTGGAGTGGGTAGGAGGGTCTCCTTGCGTCAGACGCTGTCCTTTGGTCTGATCTGCATTCCAGAGGGTCCACAGTGCATCCACAACACAACGTACAGGCGAAAATTGACAATGGTTCGCGGATGGAGTCAAGTCTGGTTTTGCCCCTGTTGTGATTGCTGCTAGATCCCGGTAATTGCTTCTGCACATGTCCCAAGAGAGCGGAAACATCGACCTCGGGGAAGACGATGGAGGTCGGGTTGTAAGGACAGAGGTGCTGCTTCGAGAACGCCACGCGAAGCCGAAAAGAGAGCCTCAACCGAGGAGGGGCGCATATTCGCCGCCGCTTATCACAGACTAGGTGGGCGGTCCAGCACGTTCATCTCCGTGATTGGCCCCAGCGCAGACTATCAATGCTGGGGAAAGATAAGAACCTGGTCGGGGTTGCAGAAGCGCGGTAGGTCGGCCGGTACTGGGAGAGGTTGACACGAGAGACAGGACCGTGAGCAGCGAGTAAGCGAGCACCAACATGAGACGGTAGATATTCCAGAAAGCGGAGACGACCGGGAGCCAATGGAGCCCTGTACTACTGTGCTCTGGCCATTGCGAAAGAGGAAGTTGCCAAGTGACCGTCCGGAGCCCGTTCAACTGTTTGTCTGGGCCTGCGACGGTGCGATCCCTCCACTTTGGTGGTAGCGCGAGCCACGGTGCGAAAATATAATTCCCGTGAGGGCCGACTCATAGGTGAGAGCCAACAGTTCCTCATCGTTCAACTCTGTTCAGGAATTGCCCTCGTGCCTATTCGTCGCCATGGCCGATGTTCGAGAAATACACACAACGCCCGGTGCTGGTGTCGCCCACAACAACGACCCGGCGCTAGACATTGCTCACGAGCACGAGCATCCTCACGTGCACCACAGCGCGCGTGCAGCCCACCCTGACAACATTGTCTACACCACTGGAACCACGGACGAGAAGACCAGCAAGTTGTTCCAGCCCAGCGCTCTTGACAGCCACCTCCACCAGCGCCATTCTGCAGGTGACGTCGAGAAGGCGGGTGGTTACGACTATGAAGTAGAGAAGGCCACGCGCAGCTCTTCCGACCCTGAGATGGAGGCAGAGAAGAAGCCCTGGTGGACTTCCTTCTCTGCTTTCTACAGGAAATTCAGACTTCCTGTGCACATCTTCCTTGGAGCGCTCTTCACCGGGTAAGGCGCATTTTCGTGTCCATTGTCTCGAGTATTTCGGGCTGACAGTATTAGATGGTGGATTGCCAGTGTGGTCGTGCACCGTCACGACAAGAACTGGATCATTCCATTCTTGTTTTGGCTGGCCATTATGATCCGCCTGATCACTCTCCACATCCCCATTACCGTCGTCACCAAGCCTATGCACTGGGTCTGGGCCAACACTGGAACGAGATTTGCAAACCTCATTCCGGAGAAGCTGCGAATTCCTGCCGCTGCCGCTCTCACTATCGCCGTCATCATTGTTGGATCTTTCGCCAGTGAGGAGAGTGAGGACAACACGCGTGCCAACCGCGCTGTCTCGCTGTTCGGTCTCCTAGTCTTCATCTTCGGCTTCTGGGCGACTTCTCGCAACCGCAGCATGATTGTTTGGCACACCGTCATCGTCGGTATGCTGATGCAGTTTGTCATTGCACTGTTCGTCCTCCGTACCAAGGCTGGATACGACATCTTCAACTTCATCTCCGAGCTCGCACGTCTGCTTTTGGGTTTCGCCAAGGATGGTGTTGCCTTCTTGACAACCCCCGATATTGCGGCCAACACCTACTTCATGTTCAGTGTTATCCCCGCCATTATCTTCTTCGTCTCGTTCGTCCAGCTCTTGTACTACTGGGGTATCCTTCAGTGGTTCATCGGTAAATTCGCTGTCTTCTTCTTCTGGGCCATGCGAGTGTCAGGTGCCGAGGCCGTTGTCGCTTCCGCGTCTCCTTTTATCGGTCAGGGTGAATCCGCCATGTTGATCAAGCCCTTCGTTCCCCACCTTACCATGGCCGAAATGCACCAAGTCATGTGCTCTGGATTTGCTACTATCGCCGGTAGTGTTTTGGTTGCCTACATTGGTATGGGCCTCAACCCGCAAGCCCTGATCTCATCTTGCGTCATGAGTATTCCTGCTTCGCTGGCTTTCAGTAAGCTTCGATACCCTGAGACTGAGGAGACTCTTACCGCCGGTCGCGTTGTTGTACCTGATGACGATGAGCACAAGGCTGCCAACGCCCTCCACGCCTTTGCAAACGGTGCCTGGCTCGGTCTCAAGATCGCTGGTATGATCGTCTCCACACTTTTGTGTATCATTGCCCTTCTCAACTTGGTCGATGGTCTACTCACCTGGTGGGGACGCTACATCAACCTCGACGGCGACTACGACCTGACTCTTGAGTTGATCCTTGGTTACCTCTTGTACCCAGTTGCCTTCCTCCTCGGTGTATCGCGCCAGGGTAACGACTTGCTTCTTGTGGCTCGTCTCATTGGTGTCAAGGTCATTACCAACGAGTTTGTTGCATTCCAATCGCTTGTCGACGAGGACCCGAAGTCCCCTTACCACACCCTTAGCCCACGCTCGCGCCTTATCGCTACCTACGCTCTCTGCGGTTTCGGTAACATCGGTTCACTGGGTACTCAAATCGGTGTGCTCAGTCAGATTAGTCCCGGTCGCAGCGGTGATGTCTCGCGTCTTGCTCTATCGGCTCTTATCACTGGTGTCTTCTCCACCTTGTCAAGTGCATCGGTTGCTGGACTTGTGGTCCTTGACGGATCCAACTTCAGTTCAGGCTCATAGGTTTCGAGCTGAAGTCGTATGAATTAGTGCATTGCTGAGGATCCACTGTTTGGTGGTCCTAAAATATTATGTTAGTAAGCTGTTCGGTGTAGAAGATACCCATCTAGTAGTACATGGATCCTGATAAGGAATGAATACCCTCACTTCAAAATTCTTCCGCAAAAACTATGATTGCTTTGAAAAACAGAAGTGCTACGAATGTTCTGTATCCAAAATAACGGGGTATTGACACAATATGACCTGAATTCTTCGCCCTTTGACAAGAATGCTACCTTGGCATCGCCCTTTTACACACGACATGTTGCCTCAATTTGGTTAGCGTGTCCAAAAGTGGTAGTCCTTTCAAGCCGCACAACATTGTAATCTCGCTTCTTAACTCGTGTTCGCTTGTACAACATGATGCCATAGTATTTAAGATGTGGTCATGGATCGGAGAAACACATTTCCGTGTTTTGTGCAAAATATTATTTCACCCCTCTGTTGTCGATGCGATATGGCAGCCATGTGTGAGTGTATGCCAATGAGTGTGACGGCTATTACGATGTTGATGTTTTCAGTGTCGTTTGCGCCTATGAGAGCCCGCGTTGAAATATATTGTGATTCTAGTAAAATAAGACTGTGTCATGAAGGAAGGTGCGGTTAGCTTTGCTGGTATTCGCTCCTGCTTCTCCAAGCTTGAGAGAGCGCCTTCGTACCACGGACGCCCTGTCAGTGCGCTCAAGCAACCTGCATGTCATCGTCTCAATCGTTCAACTTAACCTGGAAATATCTCATGTGTTTTGCACTCAGCGTAGATGGCGCACTAGGGTTCAACACTCATTACGCGCTACTAAAGATTTCGATGCACGATGCATTAGCGACCTGTCAACGACGAGGTTGCTCTGACTGTCCCCGGTCAAAATCCCCAACGCTATCAGATGCAATACCAACGCGATTTGGCATCTGGGGCTGGCAATCCCGCCAAAAAGATAAGAAGTGGTTGACATCCAATAACCGGTCACAGATGGCAGTTAAGCGAAGACGCTAACATCGCCGTTGGAAGCTTGACAGAGAGCAACAATCGCTTTTTCCGCCCTCCAACGTCTTTCCGGCATCTTGTCATCGAGATGCTAAGGCTTGGCCTATGGCTTGTCGCAGGTCGTGACTGGTATACTGCAAGTATGCGAACACTTGCCTCCCTTGATATCATAATCTGCTCGCAGCTCCTGACGGTTGCGCTCTATCTATCGCGAACAGCTAGCTGCCCAACCCGGAGAATCACAAAGCCGTACGAATCTACGATTGGTCCCAGCTCGCGCTGAGTAAAAGGTGTCACACAAAAAATCGCATCTTATCTACGTTGTTCCGCCGCGTTATCGGGCCATGCCGGGGTGCGAAGATCGTTTCCACTCAAGACATGCGCCCTGCTGTTGCTCAACCCCACGAAAGCCGCCTGAACCATGCAGAAAGTCTAATACAACGGCCGCGATCGCTGCCAACGTCAATTATCATCCGCCGTTATGCACGCTAGTCTTATGGCTGGCTATGCTTGCCTTGTGCGACCGGCAGATGAACGGTAGTGTTCTGGCTTTATCTTCGTCGACGTCCTCATCTAAACGTTTTGTGCCGTCGGCCTCTGACTGAAGCTTTTTGCATTGACTTTGAAGTGGTGCTTGGTCGTGAGCTTAAATATATCCAAGCTTCTCGTACCTCCTCTGGTGTAGCACTCCCTACTTGCTGACTGCTACAACCTTCCACCTTCGGGTCTTTTGTGCTCACCCAACATGAGTACACCTCCGCCGCTGAGCCAAGGTTTTGGCTATGGCATTGTGATAGGTTTAGGTTTTGCCTTCTCGTAAGTGTCATGTCTTCTTTCAAAAGACCTTCGCTAAATTGTCATAGATTTGGCATGATCTTGACGACATTCGTGCTGAAGAGATACAACTATGAGCTCCAAACTTCCGAAATGTTCTCAACCGCTGGTCGTACAGTGAAATCAGGACTTGTTGCCTCAGCTGTAGTATCATCCTGGACATGGGCAGCTACACTTCTCCAGTCCAGCGCTGTTGCCTATCGATATGGTGTATCCGGCCCTTTCTGGTACGCCTCGGGTGCCACTGTTCAGATTATTCTGTTTGCTACAATCGCTATCGAACTAAAGCGAAGAGCTCCTAACGCGCATACGTTCCTCGAGGTTATCAGGGCTCGGTATGGTGCTGTAACACATATTGTTTTCATGGTCTTTGGCCTCTTCACCAACATTCTTGTTACTTCTATGTTGTTGACAGGTGGTTCTGCTGTTGTGACTTCTGTAAGTGTATTCCTAATGTGAGTCCATTCTCGAACTAACATGTGAAGCTCACTGGCATGCACACTGCAGCTGCCTGTTTCCTTCTACCAGTTGGTGTAGTGTTATACACCATGTTCGGAGGCATCAAGGCTACCTTCTTGACTGACTATGGTATGTCTCCTCTACCCCGAGTTGTAGGAGAGGATCGCTAAATTCTAATTCCAGCACACACCGTGGTCATTCTGATCATCCTCTTGATGTTTGCTTTCACAGCATATGCGACCAACGAGAATCTTGGGAGCCCTGGTAAAGTTTTCGACCTGTTGGTACAAGCCGCATCGGATCATCCTGTTGAAGGAAATGCCGGTGGCTCTTATCTGACCATGCGCTCGAAGGAAGGTGCCATCTTCTTCGTGATCAACATCGTGGGTAACTTCGGTACTGTTTTTTGCGACAACGGTTACTACAACAAGGCCATTGCTGCCAGTCCTGTTGATGCGCTGCCCGGATACATCATGGGTGGTTTGTCCTGGTTCGCGATTCCGTGGCTAGCTGCTACCACAATGGGTCTCAGTGCCATCGCCCTCGAAAACAACCCAGTTTTCCCAGGCTACCCCAACCGTATGGCTGATGCTGATGTGACAGCTGGACTTGTGTTGCCTACAGCGGCTGTTGCATTGATGGGATCAGGAGGCGCTGCAGCGGTGTTACTTCTCGTCTTCATGGCCGTGACATCGGCCATGTCTGCGGAACTCATCGCTGTGTCCTCGATCTTCACATATGATTTCTACCAGGTAACCATACTTCTGCACTAGACAGAAATGATTCGCTGACACACTCTAGACTTATATTAATCCCAAAGCTACCGGAAAGCAACTCATCTACATGTCACACACTATGGTTGTCGGCTTTGCTGTCGCGATGGCAGCATGGAGCACAGGACTTTACTACATCGGCATCAGTATGGGATATCTATACCTACTTATGGGCGTAATCATCTCGTCCGCCGTTCTTCCCGCCACCCTCACACTAATGTGGTCAAAAATGAATTGGGTAGCAGCAACCTTCACTCCACCCCTCGGTTTCGCCTGTTCTCTCGTCGCCTGGCTCGTAACCGCCCAGAAGGAAAGTGGAGAGTTGACGGTCCTCACAACCGGTGCCAACAACCCCATGCTAGCAGGCAACGTCGTCGCTCTGCTTTCGCCCATCATCTTCATTCCCGTATTCACATATGCCTTCGGCCCCCAAAACTACGATTGGCAGAGCATGAAAGCCATTCGCAGAGGCGACGACCACGATCTCGCACTCGCCGCAAACGTCGACATGGAACGAATCCCTGGTGAGCAACGACGCGCCATCCAAGCCGAGGAGGAAGAACAGGCCAAGTTACTCAAAGCCTCGCGTATCGCGCGCTGGTTAACCCTCTTCATGGCGATCTCTTTCCTCGTACTGTGGCCTATGCCTATGTACGGGTCTTCGTACATCTTCAGCAAGAAGTTCTTCACAGGCTGGGTTGTAGTCGGAATCCTGTGGATGTTTTGTTCGTGTTTCGCAGTCGGGTTGTATCCGCTTTGGGAGGGAAGAAAGACTAGTGTCCGGACTTTCAAGTCAATTTGGGCCGATGTCACGGGCAGGAAGAAGCCTGGGAAGGGGCCCCAAATTGTGGAGGGCGAAGGGTCGGATACGCCGCCTGAGGCCATGGAAGAGAAGATGGTGAAGGAGTAAGCAAAGGTAGAAAGACGTTGACGCAGTATTGCAAGTCTCTCGGGAATGGTGAATACCGTAATACAGCTCCGCAGTGTCGGTTGTTGCAGTAATAAAACCATAATTGCAAAAGATTCGAAGAAGTTCAAATATGTTAATGTTTTCATTTTATCCAAGATCAAACGCCTGCCCATGTTCCCAGCTGTAACACCTTTCCAAGCGCATCAAAGCGCAGTGATTAAACCATGACAAGAAACTCCCTCGAAAGACTATAGACCGAGTCCGTCTTTTCCCAATATTCGTAAATGTCATGAACTTCGTTGTCCATGGGACGCTCGAAAAGCCAGTTATAAAATTCTCAACGCCTTGCAATGCTTCCGAGACGCCTCGCTTGCTGAATGTGGACAAAAAAGCCATGATAAGACCCAGTTGTACGCTTGACAGATGTTCCGAGGGTAGATGTGGAGAAGCCTTCCCCGTGTGAAATGGGGGAGAGGATCGCGTCACATACCCAAACGAGATGTGATACTTACCAACTTACCGTTGCGCGTAGAGTCGGATGAATAACACCAGCTCCATTGCGCAAGCCGGTAGTTGTAATGTCCGTGCTAGACACTTATGATTTGAGCCTACTACTCCTTCTAAATTCACAAGTCCGATGTGAACTCTGTGGCCGAATGTAGTGACCTAACGGATGGTCATCTGCTTGGTAGCGCTGGGCTTCATGGAAGCAGAGCCAGCAGCGGCAACGGAAGGCTGGCCGGGCTTCTTCTCAAAGATCTTCCAGAACTTGAGGGACTCGTCGGCAGCGGCGGTGGCAAGCATCTGACCATCAGGGCTGAGGCAGCTGTGGAGGACACGAGACTCATGGGCAGGGATCTCAGTGTTCTTGACACCGGAGGGGTAGCTCCAGACACTCAAGCTGTTGTCGGGGAAGCCACCAGTGCTGACAATCTCCTTGTAGTGGGTGCTCCAGCGCAAGCTGGTGACCTGGGAGTCGGTAGGAATGTGGTTGATGCGAGCACCAGTAGTGGTGTTCCAGAAGTAGATTTGACGGTCGTTGGAACCACCGCCGGTGGCAAGCAGGTTGGATTGCCATGGGCACCATGAGACAGCCTTGACAGCAGCACGGTGGTTGGTCTTGGTGAACTTGGGAGCGGCAAGCGCGCGAGCATCCCAGATGTTGACCATGTTGTCGTTGGCGCCAGTAGCGAGCTGGGCACCATCGGCGCGCCACTCGAGACCGCAGACCTCTCCGGTGTGGGAGACGAGCTCAGCAATCTTGTGTTGTGCGACGCGAACGTCGTGGTTGTACACAAGACCAGAGCGGGCACCGGTGGAGAGGATGTGCTTGTTCCATCCCATAACACCGACGCGGGTCTCGTGGCCGAACATGCTACGAAGCTTGGTCTGCTCCTCAACATCCCAGATCTGAACCTCGCCCGTACCGAGACCAACACCAACATAGGCACCATCCCCAGACCACTTGACGGATGAGATGTAGGTGTCAGCAGGGCACTCAAGGAGAGAGGCCACTGAGCCGGAGTCAGCAGACCAGACGTAGACTGAGCGCTCAAGACCGATGGCGACCTGGTTGCCGGAAGACCAGTCAAGAAGGTTGAGGTAGTAGTCATCGACAAGACCAGGAGCATCGAGGACGCGCTCAGGTGCTGATGGGATGCGACGACGGCTCTGTGCATTGGCGGCGCTAGTAGGCTTGAGGGGACGGTTGTATTGCGAGCGAAGGTCGATGGGCTTGGACGACTCAGGCGGGGCAGGCTTGAAAGCAAGAATGCGAGTGTTTGTGTTGATGCCACATGCCGAGGCGAGTGTGGACTGGTATGCGGCCTGGCCAGGAGCAGGCTTTGATTTTGATCGGCTCTCCTCGTCGTCGTCCTCGAGGCTCAGACCCTCCAAGGAGAGTGTGACGTCCTCCTCTGACCCACGGCCACCGAGATCGAAAGCACTGGCGGCGTTGGCAAGCACGGTTGAGCCCTCCTGCTTGGAGCTAGACTTGGGACGCTGTTCAACATCGAGCTTGGCGGCACCGACACTGCGGATGCCCTCGCTTGCCGTCCGGTTGGGGATGAAACGGTCGGCAGCGTTGTAGGCAATGCGGGTCTTGGTAGGGCGAGCGCGAATAGCAGCCGCCGCCTCCTTCTTCTCCTTCTTTGCCTTGGCCGCGGCAGCAGTACCGGATCCAGTGAGGGCCCACTCTGATACACCGAGTTCTAACCGGCGGGGAGTGTGTGTGTGGGAGCGAGCAATGTTGGACTTGGGGGAGTCGCGGGTGGTCTTGGTGACGGAGCGCTGGATGCGGGACTTGAAGTCGTTGCCATGGATCGACTCGTGTGCCTGCACATCGGAAGTCTGAGTGCGTGGGGTGCGAGGGGAGGGTGTCAGTGGTATCCGACCGCCGGCGGTACGGGTGTTGAAGACTGCAGAGCGCTTCTTGACCGGAGTCACGCAGACTGCTGTGCTTGCCATGACTGCTAGTCTCTTGCTGAACTGGGTTAGTTGGGTTCTTAGTACGTGGACATTGGTTGATGGCATACAGTATATGGGTTGGTTTCTGCTATATGTTGTAAGGATTAGTATAAGACAATGCTGTAATCGATGCTGTCAAGTATGGATTCGAAAGTAATTCAGTGGTTTGCACTCTGGAGATGGAGATGCAGGGTTGTGCGGCTGGTAGAGTGTGTGTGGCAGTGGACATGTACGAGGGCAGGTATGAGGACGTTTAAGTATCCTTTGTTTACGCTTGCGTTGACCAGGTAACCGAGACAGGACCCAGACAGGACCCTGCGCGAGGCTGGCTGGACGACGGAACACTGGCCTCATGACATCACATGATGGTGTCCGGTTTATGAATCAGCCTGCATAGTCGCCGTGCCTCCGCATGGCCTTGCTTTTGCGTGCAGCCCCGATGATGGCTATGGCTTCATGGTGTCTCGTCGTGCCAGGCTGCGACGCATCAGCATAGTTGCACCTGGTCGCATACTCACTGCCACTAATGGCCCGACGAGGTATTACCAATTGTGTATTGAATCTAGGAAAACTTAGTGCTCAGTGGCCAACTCTCGGGTGGCTCGCTACTACTCCTGTGGCCGTGGCAGGGCTGAGTCGTCGTGGGTCGGCGCTTCCCGTTCGAGCTATGGCGGTGACGGGCGGCAATATGCACGGCCAGCCAACTCAACTTCCTCCCGTCAAACATTCTCGCAGCCTAGACAAAGGCCATCCCTGCCCACTGGGGCTTCTACCACCAAACTAACCTCACCAACTTCACCGCGCACGATCCATGGCACAACCACCCGCTCGATCCGCTTTCCCGTCCAACATCCTCAACCCCGCCCTTACCTCGACACTCTCGCCCAGCCTCTCGCATACGAACACGCCCGGATCCGCCAGCTCCACCAACAACACGTTCCTCATGTCTGCGAGCCCCGTCCAAAGCCGTCGATCAGCCGTAGAAGGCTACAAGCCCAAGATGATTTCGACAATTGGCGCCAAGCCCGCCTGCCTCGTCAATGCCTCCGTGACATATGTTGGCGATGACCAGATATACGCCTTTGGAGGCTTCGACCAGTACACCGACGAAGTATACAACCACGTGCTTCGTTTGAACCTCGTTACACGGCAATGGAACCTGGTCGACAACTACGGCGACATTCCAGGCGTACGCATGGGTACGTGCTCACCGCTCCAGTTCCACACAGTACTTGTATCTTGACTGACACCCCCTCCTAGGACACACTGCATGCCTTTGGCAAGGCAACAAGCTCCTCGTATTTGGCGGAGAAAATGAGCACCGCCAGCATCTTGCCGACGTTATTGTATTCGATCTCAAAACCGCCCATTGGACGCAGCCCGAACTCCACGGGCCCATACCTCGCGGCCGTGCGCGCCACTCAGCTGTTATATACGACGACAAATTGTACATCAGCGGTGGCCAGACTGGGCATGATAGCGTGCTAGACGACATCTGCTACCTTGACCTGAAGACATGGACCTGGTCTCGGACATGGAAATTCGTCCCTCGCTACGACCACGCCAGCTGGATCTGGAATGGTCGCATCTGGATATTCGGCGGCATCAACGATGACATGGAAAAGAACAATGAGATCTGGTGGCTCGATCTCCGCGGTAGCCCAGAGTTTGACCATGCAATGAAATATGGGACGGGCGACCGGCAACTCATCTCATCCCGACATCGTTACCCTGTCCCGGCTTCTGGCCAGCTCGCGACCGGCAGTACAGGCTACACTGCAAATTCCAGCGTTCAGTCGTACCACGGAATGGGTTCAAGTCGGTCACCCTATGTTGCGCCTGGATCCATTTCGTCTCTCAGATTCCATTCCAGTCCAAATCTACCATCACAGGCCGCGGGTACGCATTTCCACATCTTCTCATCTGGCTGCATGCTGGACTTTGTCACTCCGGCAGAGCTGAGTTGCGAGACGAGCTTGTCTAGTCTGGAGCTAGACACTTTGCGATGGCAGAAGCTCGCCGACGGAAAGGATCTTTACAGCCCCAACTACCGCTGGCACTATTGCACCACCAATCCTGAAGGAACGCATGCATGGCTTCTGGGCAGCCCAATTGAGTCGGCCAACGATGGGAACCATAATGGTGAGTATCTTAGCGACGTTCTCGCCATCGACCTCCGCAAGTACGGCATCCTGGGTAACGAGCTGGCCTCGGACACGCGCTCCAAGATGATGCCCTCCTCTGACGCCAATGTTTCTTCGCATCTCACCGGCATTGGTGCGGATCTGTCCCTGACGTTCGACCAACCACTGGAGAGTGGCAGCGGCGCAGACTTCATTATAACGGCGGATCCTGATGATGATGATTATGTGGATGTTGCAACACCAGATCCCAATGGCTCGTCAACGGCTGTGAGTCCAGTCTCGCGGCCGATACACGTCCACAAGCTCATTCTACATGCTCGTTGGCCTCATTTCGCCCGTCTATGGAGCGCCCAGATGGCTGAGTTCCATTCGAAGAAAATGCATATCCCTGAGCCATACTCGGCAGTTCGGGCGTTCCTGTTCTACCTGTACACCGACAGTATTGCGCCGAATCCGCAGAATGGACCCAGCCTGAACGATGTGGCCGGCATGCTTGTCATGTCAAACATCTACGACATGCCTCGTCTTCGCCTGCTCTGTGTAAACCGTTTAGGCCGGGAGCTCGACATCGAGCACGCTGCCACAATCTGGGAGCGTGCTGCTACTGCTGGAGAGGACTGGCTCAAGCAGCGAGCAGCGACGTTCTGTATGCAAAACTTTGGTAGAATCGTCCGCACAGCAGGCTACCGTAGTCTCAGTCCCGCAAGCTTGATTGAGCTTAGTTGTGAGGCTACCCCAGAAGCGCGTGTCGTCGGTGGGGAAGATCTGGATCTGCTCAGCCAGCTTACCGGCCGCTCCTTTGGTGGTAGTAACCGCAAGCGGAGCTTGGGTAGCGCGGGCGTTCTCACTGCTGGGGAAGATGATGGCGAGGACGAGGTGGAAGATGATGGTATGGATGTGAACTAATATTCTCTGGCAACTTGATTTTCCTGCTTTGTATCGTACTTCACAAGCATATTGGCGCGGCGTTGGTCACTTGGAGGGTAATTCGGAGGCGTCTCCCGGTCGGATTTGATATATGCATTGCGTGGGCGCGCAGAGATTCTGGGGACGGTGTTTGAGTTCATGGTCCTCTTTTTTTGATGGCACGCACTCACGATAACATGATTGCATAAGTATTATACCGCTATATAGATACATCGAGTTCTACTTCCGCTACTTTGGCTCGGTCCACTAGCCATATCGAATTCTTCGTCCGCCTTTCTGCTCTAGCATCTGGCAACTTACTGATATCCCCTTTCGTTCTGCGTAATGAATAGCATCCCGCCCATTGATCTTGGTACAATTATTCGCTTTGATGCTCTGCAGCGTTGGAAGCCTATCCGCCAGCATCTTGATGGACGCTCCTGTGATATTAGTATGAGACAAGTCGATCGTCTTGAGTCCCGTCTTATAGGTGAGAAGTGCCTCGATTTCATCGTCGTCGCATTGCATAGTGGATATATCCAAGGACTCAAGCGCTGGTGTGAGAATCCGCGGTGATTGACCTAATATCGAGTTTTGACTCAGCGGAGTAAACAATCGGCTGTTGTCATCGAGTAAGCCGTGTAGTAACAATGAATGAAGGGCTTTCTCCGACAAGCATTTATGCGTTTCGCCGTTTTGCATACAGCATTCTAGTAGAATTTCTATTCCGTTCGCATTTGCATTGAGGCCGTCGAAGCCAGATATGGTCAAGTCTGTAAGCTCTGGGACACAGCACCGCTTCAAGCTCCCAAAGTCTGTTAAATTCAAGCTCCCGTGGCTGCCATTGTTGTCAAGAACAAGTCGCTGTAGTGTTGGTGGCAGCAATGGGAAGCCTTGAAGGTCCACCCGTTTCAACACTAGACTCTTTAGCGGCGGCAGCTGTGTCACTTCTCTGGGCCACCCTTGTCCGAATTGAAAGCCTTCCATGTTGGAGAGTGACAAGTTTTCAAGGCATGGTGTACGGCTCAGCAATTCGGTGAGTCCGAAATGAGTCGCCATGATCTGATGACTCCAGTGTATGCTAAGTGTTCGGAGGTTTCCAAATGAGATTGCCCAGTTAGTGGCGGATCTCAAGCCACTTGACGAGCTTGCCACTCCCCTCGTTGAGTTGAGGACTAGGTGCTCCAGCGCAGGTCGAGCATGCATTATCTCCACAGCAGATACCCCGCGAATCTCCGGATGTATGATGAGCGTCTTTAGATTTGGAGCACCCTTGACAATATCGAGTAACATAGCCGGCATGGTATGTGGTAGAGAGATGAGCTCCATTTCTGAAAGGTCCTTGGCGGCCTTCGCAAGGTTCTTGATGACGTCCAAATGTTCGAAGCGATGCACAGTGACGCGTGTCATGCGGAACTCTGAGCGTTTGAAAGCGATATTGATAAAGGAGCGGGGAACGGGTCTGCGAGCACCGGAAAGATCGAGGTGCATCCAAAGCTTGGGCAGCTTAGAGAGATAGTCCCGCCAGCCTTTGCTGACGCGCATGCAATTGACCATGTGGCGGAAAGAACAATATTCCAGTACCATCTCCGCTAACTCAGCAGGCAAGACTGTCAATGGGTCGATGGCTGATGCAGGTGATAGTTTGCGTGTTTGCTTGTCGTGGAGTTGTTGCAATAGCTAGTAGCAGTCAGTCACGTCACTGAAGTGAAAAGCGAACAGCATCCATTCTTTGATGAGAAAAGTAACAGGGCAATTGAGCTCTCCTTCAGGTTGACAACGGAAGTACTGCCTCCAAACGAACCGGAAGACAGGACAGGATCACATCACATACCTTGAAGTTCTTGTCGCTAACTGGCACATTCTTCATACCATACTTATAGATCCCAAGGGCTGTCTCGGGCTTTTCCATCTTCTCTAGCACACTTGCCGTGCGCAAATATCCTTTGACGTCCTTCTTGTTCAACCTGATCATCTCTCGGCCGTCTTTGACAGCAGCATTAAAATTGCCTAGTTTATCGTACGTAGCAGCCCGATGATCATACAATTCTGCGGTTGGGCAGGACTCGATGCCTTTTGAGAATGTTTCCAAGGCCTTTTCATACTGCTTGAGCTTATAGTAGCTGCGACCAATTTCCTGGTACTCTTCTGGTAGCATTGTGCGAGCCATGATGGTCAGAGAAATGTATCCCAAGTAGGCCGATGTTGGACCGTAAATGGCTATTCTGATCGCGCAAAGCGAAGTGGGCTTATAGCACAGCAATAGTCAAACCCAGGGTAAATTGTCTAGTTGCGCAGAGATCGTCCGGCAAGGCCGCGCATTCACGAAATTAATCGTTCTGAAAAAAGGAAATGGATGTTCTTCGGAAATTTGTAGGTCGTTTCTATCCGTAGGTCTTTCGTGTGGAAAACGTGATGTACCAGTTGCGGTGTCGAAACGCGTAAGTGATGTGCTGAAGTACTGGCGACGCGTCGTAGACCCATCGCGCTAAAATGGCCAGGGCGGCTTGTGCGCACTGGCCTCATCTTCCGTTGAGCTTGCTAATTCAGGCACCAATATTGTCCGCATCAACAAACACCAAGGCCAACGATCTGCATCACCCGCGATAGTGTTGATGTCTTGTTCTCTTCGCAGAGTGATACGTAATCGGCGGCGCTTGACGCTCGCTACCCAGATGCTAGTCTCACATCGGCACCAGCAACTAAGCTTACTATGTGACCACACTTTATGTGTGACACTAGCAGCATGATGCTGAATTCACTAACACGATACGGATTGATTATCTACAGGACCGACTGTCTTTCGTTACAAGGTCGCCACTAATCCGCTGGCGATTTACGAAGGTGTTTGAACTGTAACAACTTGCAATATTGAAAAGGAGAAGTAAAGTCGATACTAGGAGGGAGCTCGTGTCTAATTGAGCTACGACTAAACATACCGAAGCCTGAAAATACTCGCGGTACGTTATGCCAACATACGTTCGTGCTGAACCTACTGAATACCTTTAAGCCATATGATCACTTTGGTGCAACTCGTGAAAACGAGCTTCTTGTTACAGAAGTGCCGACTACCAAACGAAAAAGAAAAGCATCTAGGCTTGCTCTTCGCCTGGGCCTGGAAAAGCATACCAAGCGTCTTAGATTTACAGACAAGAACCTGGAAGATTGTTTCTGCTGATATTGTGAAAGACATGTGAAAGTCAGCTACGAGGAAAAGGAAAAGGGCCGTTCCGTGGATGGAAGAGGGACATGGCAGATGCACCGAGATATTGCCTCGGTCAATCGCCGGTGCAGACGTGGGAACGAACGAGGTGGGAATGAGAGAGTTCAAGGCGTCCAAGCCCGGACTCTCGTCCGCCCCTGGATCCGCTGTTCTGCGACTAGCATTGGCAACCACTGGGCGATGCATGTTTGACCTAGTGATTTTAGCGATGGTGGGACACATGACTGTTGAGGAGGAGTAAATCCTGGAGATGGTGGGATCTCCGCATTGTCTTGGGACATCGGATGGAATTATCGGACATTGGCAGCATCCTTCGCACATTGGCTATGTCTTGGAATCGGGTTGAATAAGTCCCTCCGACGCAGGGTCGGAGGTCGAATCAGTCGGGGCAGTAGTACGCCTTTATGCGGAACAGTGTTTGCACCGCCGTCATAATACAGTGGACCTGTCATCTATATGCAGCGCTCGCATCGAGCGGAGACCCCAGAGCTAGGACATCACACCAAACCATCCTTCAGTTTGATCTTCGCCGTTTTCCCCAGTCCCAGAGTCCTGGCAATGGGGTTCACGATGATGACCAAGTGGGATCAAAGCAAGCGATTCTGTGGAGGTCACTCATAACCATGATGCATAATCAAAAGCTATTGGCGGATTTTGGAACGACCCTGCGTTCAAGGAAGTGCTAGAAATGTGGAGTGCGATTATCAGTATGATTATCAATACGGCATTTGAATAAAGCGGAGACCCCGACATTGGACGGCGCTTCCGGTGACAAACTGGAGAGTATGTCACTTGGCAGGGACACGTGCGACAGCGCGGTATAGTGTGCGCCGAAGCGGATGTAAAGACGGTGTTTAGGCAGTAATATGTGGAGTTACCATGTCGTTGGTGTATTTGGCGTGTTTTAGCACACGATATGGGAGCCGTCTTTTCCGTGAATGTGGTATGCTTGCGGGAGCAAAGTTTGGGGCGGATTGATGGGGTGCTGGAGAGATCCGCACAATTTTGTTGGGCCGTGGGGTAAATGGGTCAATATGGAGAGTTGTCGCATGTATGCATGCTATTGTTCAGAGCATTCATTGGTACTGTTTTGTCCCGCGCGGTTGATGAAAAGGAGGGAGTTGGGACAGAGCAGTCAGCACGGATAGCCCGAAACAGGAAGGCCCGAGATCTGCACAATGAGAGCCTCATCCCCACGCTAGGCTTGGGAACTCCACACGAGCCTCTCCCGACTGCTAAGCATGTGCATTGGCAACTTATCCCGCCATGGCAGAAAGCGCGATTATCGCATACTGCTCGCAACGTCGGCCAAGGCGATCAACCGCACGGCGAGGTTTTGTAGGAACGATGTAAGCAAATGAGGATGCTGACCTCAGTGGAAAAATCTATTTGGGTAGCAAAGGCATACCTACGTCCAACCTCGGGAACCTACAAGGCTCACATGAAGCACACCGCCATCACGTGCAAGGAATGTCTCCTCCCGGCCGGCAGTCGTCTCCGAGCTTCAATTCCGCCCGATGTTCGTCTGCACTCCATGTCACACGTTAGGTAGCGGGCCCGACATCACAGCACGCATCGTCACCGTTGCAGAACATGGCGTGTTTAAGCTCCACCACACACGGTCCTTATTAGTTAAGATCTTCGGCCAAGTCGCAGAGGCTGCAGAGCCGCATGCGCACGGTTGGTCAGACCCTGCATGGGGACGGACGCGAGTCGCCGGTGCATGACGTCAAGCGTGGTCTTGTTGAGATCGAAACCGTGCCGTATAGGAAAACTT